ACATTCATTCATTTTAACTATAAACCCATGTTCTCTACAGCACAAGAAAGATTTTTTTTTTTGTCTTCAAATGACTTTCTCTTTTATCCTTATACCTTCTGATAATATTTCACATCACAACTCAGAACAGAGTCAATAGAACTTTCTCAGGCTGGTGCTAGCAGAACTCTCAAGTCTTGTGAAACTAATTTTTTTCCAGTAATAATTTTGCTCTTTATTTATTAAATTCTTGACTCGAACATATATTGCTTTTTAAAATCATAGATCAGCTGTCGAGTAACAAGAACAAACTTTCAAACTATCAATGGTCCAATATATAGTGTTTTAAAGAATACAAATGCATAAGCTTATTCTTAAAAAATTCAAATGACACACGAGTATAAAATAAAAGATCCCTTTGACCTCTTATCTCTTTTTCTCTGGATGGTTAACAGTTTGTTGTATATCCTTTCAGATATTTTTGTGTATTTAAAAACAATTAGTTCATTTATCTGTTTTTCATATATTAGGATCATGCTATACATTTTGTTTTATTTGCCGCCTTTTCAATTCACTGAAATGTCTTGCAGAGCTCTGTCTACTCCTGTGGATCTCTCTCAGACATTAGTAAACTATATTCTGTGGGCTGAATTCAGCCTGTAGCCTGCTTTTGTAATTTATTCATTTTTTAAAATGTATTATTTACGGTTGCTTTCATCCTACAAGGGTAGGGTCATGGCAAAAACCTGATTGGATACAAAATCTAACATCAGTTCCATTGCAGAAAAGTTTAGCAACACCTGATCTATCCTATTCTTTTTAGTATTGACCCAATATTTCATCTAATTCATACACTATATTTTATCTGAGGGTATTTAGGTTAATTTCAACTTTTCTACATTATAACTGATGTTACATTAATCTAAGTACCAAGAATTATACTTTGAGAACAACTTTTATAAACCAATATATAAGCAACTTGAGAAAGATGGTTGGCACATACTAGTACTCAAAGGTATTTGTTGTTTAACTGCTTCTGAATGGATCACGATAACAAAAAAAGAAGCTCACAGAATTTGAGCAAATGATCTTTGCTGAATTATTTTAAAAGTAAAAAATAAACCCAGTCTGAAGTCATCAAGATTTTCCAGGATATTTGGCCAGCTTTTACCTTATTAAAGCAGACAAGAGAGCAGAAGCCATTTTCCTCCTTTACTAATAAATATAAAGGCTGGGGTTGTGGCTAGGGGTATAGCACTCACCTAGCAAGTATGAGGCACTGAGTTTGATCCTCAGCACCACATAAAAATAAAGGTCCACTGACAACTAAAAAAATTTTTTAAAAAATAAACAAATACAAATGTGAACAATATGCTGATGAATCAGAATACTAAAATATTTGAGAAGTCTCCACAGAGAACCTTCAACAATTATTGCTATTCCTGAGGGTTTTTTTGGGGAGATGGGCAGGTTACTAAGGATTGAACCCAGGGGTGCTTAACCTCAGAGCCACATCCCCAGCTTTTTAAAAATATTTTATTAGAGACAGGGTCTTGCTTAGTTGCTTAGGGACTCACCAAGTTGCTGATGCTGGGTTTGAACTGCCAACCCTCCTGCCTCAGCCTCTTAAGTCACTGGGATTATAGGTATGTGCCACCATACCCGGCTTATTCTTGAAGTTTTATTCACTTACTTTTCATATTTACCCAAATGTTATAGCTTGTTTCATTATAGATTTTGTTTTAAATTTTCAATATCTTCTCTTGCCCATGTATCTGTTAAATGTTCCCTAAAGTGGTTTACTTCCTTATATGGCATCTATGTATTTTATTGTGTGCTCAGCTTCTTAGGATTTTTTTTCCCTCCATGGTAGCCTCTTGGTATATTCTTTTGTCAAAGTTATCACACAGAGCAGCTCTGTATTTGTTTCAGTGGTAGATCCTTAAACTAGGATTCAATAAATCTCTTGTGAAATTCCTTAGTTTTGGGTTTGAGCACATATACAATTTGGGCCCCCAATTCATGCATCATTTAGAATTTTCACTGAGCATCCTGGGGAAATGGTAAGGTCCCTTGCTGCTTTTTAAGGCCAGTAGGTGGAATTCTTCTAGGCCCTTCATCATAGATCTTAGTTTTTGAAGCATTTCATTTTATCAAGGCTCTCAATTCTAGCTCCTACTCTATACTCCAAGGCTACATATCCTGTCCCTAATCGAGGGATTTTTATTGTTGTGCTTGGGATTGAACCCATGGCCTTATGCGTGAGAGGCAAGCACTCTACCAACTGAGCTATATCCCCAGCCTGAGGGTTATGTTCTTTACTGCTCTGATTTGAGTTCACTCAGGGGATTTTCCTTTTGGCAGTTTCAGCTGTATATTCATTAACATATGTACATACACACATATGTGTTCACATATATACATACACATACATATGTATACATACATATATATACATTTTACCCAGCATTTTTATGTTGTGAAACAGAGAGTAGGTATCCAATCTGCTTTAGTGATGAAGCTCCTTGAATATAAATGTCATGATGCCAATAAAAAAATATGGCCTTTTCCAAGATCGGTATGATCCTTTGGAATATGGCAAGAAATTTCTACAGCTCTCATTTAATTCTTTCTTTTGGAGAGGCAGGGGCCAGTGCTGGGGAAAGAACTCAGTACCTTTTGCAGGCCAGGCAAGTGCTTTACCACTGTGCTAAACCCCCATTCCCTAGAACTGTCATTTTAATCCACTTCAAAGAAAAATGGAGTTAATATATAGATTGATATACTGGTGCCTCACTCAATCTTTATTAGGCAGCCTCACTTTATATAATGGTACTAGAGGTCTCCTGAGGGAGGAAGGGGTGCTCCTTACTTCAGAGGTGGACTAGGGATGCACAATGCAAATGTGGAACCCACCTTTTGCTCACTCTCACTATATTTGTGATAAATGGAAATACATAGATACCCAATTAAGTGGGCTTACCGTTTGTACTATCTTGTTTAAACAAAAACAAAATGAAAGAGAGAGCTAGCTACATAATTCCTCTAAGAAGTCATGAATAAAAGACAATATTAACTGTACTAATAACTGACAAGTAAATGGCAAATTTGAGGCTTCTTTGATTCTTAGAATAAGCTCTTCATTAAGTATACAAAGACTCCTGTAATTTTTACATTAAATGTATATTCCCTGTGTAAATATCCTAAAAAATATTTTAATGATAAACATGCCTAAAAATCACTCAGTGTCTACTACTCTAAGTAAACAAGTCATTCTAATACTAAGAAGCAGACTGTGTCTAGTGTCTAAAAAACTAAACTGTAGACATTCAACTGGTATTCTAGGAAAGAGTACTACTAGAACATGGGTTCTAAAATAAAAATATTGAAGGGCTACTGGACAAAGAATGGCCTCTTATTTCTTAAAGGTCACAAGATACTCATCACCATATAGTAGAAATTTTTGATTTTGTGGTAAGTCACCAATGAAGGGTAATAGCAATGTGTGTGATCTTTGTCTACAGGGATACATAAAGATTTAGATGAATGCTTCCAAGTGTTTGTTTGTTTTTAAATAAAACAGCAAAATGAATAGGGGTGTAGACAATTTTGGAGGTGTAACATCCACAGAAACAATTTTACAAGAATGTTTGGGATAAAGCCAGTCATTTAAAACTCACAACAGCTATAGCTATATAGATAAAAGAGGCTTTAAGTCCTTTGCTACCTGCAGGTTCTTTGCTGCTCTTATTCAAGAAAGCGAGTAAAAATTATTATAGAATTAACTTCTGTCCAGATAAAGTTTTAAAAATTTACAATTTACAAATTAACATTTTTTTTTTTTTTTTTTTTTTTTTTTAGTAACAGATTACTTAGAATATTTAACACAAATGACTAAAAACAAAATGTTATGACATCATGATCTGGGACTTGATCTTTGGAATTTGAGTTTGTCATTGTTTTGGTTACAGGTATATTATACTAATCACCTTGGCCTTCTAAGTGATTTGGCTGGCCCTGGGATAGCTGGATCTCCAGACAGGTCACCTCTGACCAAAGCAGACTCCTTGATTTACCTCTGTACGCTTAACAAAAATTATTAATTTCTATGTGTGCAATGAAAAACTTTTGAGATATAATGCCTTATAAGCAGATTTGCAGATTACAGTGTGTGAGCCAAATCTGGCCTGTAGCCTATTTTTGTGTAGCCCAGGATCTATGAATATGAATGTCTTTTACATTTTAAATGATTTGAAAAAATAAATTAAAAATATTTCATGACATGTAAAAAATGTATGAAATTTAGATTTTAATGTCCATGTTATATAATATTAAATATCCATAAATGATGTTTAATTTCATCAAAGCCATACCCTTTAATTTATATGTTCATGGATAATTTTGTACTTAAGTGCAGAGTTCAGTAGCTGTGACAAAAACCAGATGGCTCACAAAGCCTAAGATATTTATTATCAAAGTTCTATATAGAGAAAGTTAACTGACTCTGGCCTGAGAGTATCTTATCAAAACCAGGAACCCACTCAGTTAACAGACTTGCCTCTGAGATGGCTGCAGGCAGGCCAGCAGTGGATTGGCACAGAGCACCTGTATACAAAGGTCCTGTCCCCCGTGGCAGTCATTCTGACTTAATGTTGGCAAGTGGCTGAAACATATACTGAAGGACTAGATTTAAAAGTGGGCATATATGGTCTAGACAAGGGTGACTTTAGGGTTCGAGGCTACTGATAACTCTGATGCTGACACAGACTTCTGGAATAGGTGGTGGTTTATGAATAGAAAGACAAGAATATTTGAAAATGGGGCTTTTGAAAAAAAATACAGATTGTGTATTAGATATCTGGAATTAATTTCTTCACTGATGTTTGAAGAAAAATGTAAACAGAGCTACTTCTCCACATAAATGAGGAACAGATAAGGGGTGGGATGGACAGGAAATTAGAAATGAGCTTTCCTGAGCCAAGAGAGGTTCAGCTTATGAAAGGAAGAAGCACATCTCTTACTTGCACAAGTGTAGGCGTCTCTGTTGGTGAAAGGCTTCATACACTGGCTACAGTTGATGGGACCCACAACAGGAATGGAACTGAAAGTGTGTCCATTGAGAGTCTTCTTGTCTTTCTCCTTTTCTTTAGAATCTTTCTCCTTCTCTTTAATTTTATCTTTCTCTTTTTCCTTTTCCTGCCAAAGAAAAGATCAACAATTAATAACAATTTATACAAGTACACTGTAAGGTCATCCCCCATTACCTGAGCACCGAGATGGCCTATGGGTGGTTGGTGAATATTTTGGATAAAACTGGGGAATAATGTTCTGGGCATTTTTTTTAAAAACTGCATTAGAAAAATCATATGAAAACTGGATAGGTTCCACAGTTTGGACAGTGGCTCACTCAGGGTTATTTATACCAATAGATACAATGACTAATGACCAACAATGGGCAATGAGGGGTCTCCTCAGTATGCCATAGCATAGTCCACATAGGAATAAAGTATTGAGTTGAGGGTCAGCTTTAGGCAAGGAACAAAAAGGAATAGTAGCAATTCTGGGTTAGCTTGTAAGGACAGATAATCATAAAGCATGAAAAATTACTGAGACTCCTTTGTTTTTCATACTAGTCACATATCCCTAAGTGAGGAGCGTCTCTGATATTTCCTCCTTATTATAGCCGAAATTACTAAATATCCCCCACATATACAGTTTTCACTAATTAGAATTCCAAGACTAATAGATATTATATTCCTCTCGTAGTCAAATTGGGAAGAAGAGGTTGCTCAGAGAACAAAAAATTGCACAGTTCTTAAGAATGTGGACAATGAAAAAAAGGAAAACCAATCAATCAACTAACCAATCAAGCAAACCAAACAACCAACCAAACAAACAAACAAACAAAAAAACAAAACGACAATGGAGTCAGGCCTGGGTAAAAATCTTAAGTTCTACCGTTACTGCTTATTAATGGTGTGAAGGGGCACAAGTTAATTTGCTGAACCTCAGTTTCCTCATTTGTAAAATGAGGAAGGTACCAATCCCATGTTTTAAAAAAAATTAGATAAGACAATATATGGAAAGCGTTTTTCAGTGTCTGGCTCTTAGCAAGCAATTATTAAATTGTTATAATAATTATTCATACCTCACTGAGCTTCATTAGTTTATTACTCTCTTAGTGCAACATAGAAATATTTCCCTGGCAGTGAGAGAAAGAAAATTGTGACATGAGGAAGGAAGACAAAGAAAACTGAAGAATGGCAAAGACACTGCTGCTGAGCCAGGAAGATAGGGGGTATGAAAAAGATGAGAGGAAGAAATCTTGTTGACAACCACTCTAAAAACTACCTCCTTTGTCCCCTCAGCCTAGTTACCCACAGTGGTCACTTCCTTTAAGAAAATGGGTACCCAGAGAAAGGAAGTCCCAAGGCCTAGCTGCTCACTCCTCTGCCCTGAGGCCCTATAAGTAAAGGTGGCAGACTGGCTATGGTTTGAAGAGACAAGGTATCCCAATATCTGCTCTCTGATCTTCTTTACAATGTGCCCTTCTTTATGTGCCCTTCTTTTCACAAGGTCTTCCCTCACCTGTCAGGGGGAACAGGAAACTGACATGTATCTAAGTTTACCGTGTGCATGGCTTTCTGGCGACTGGGCAGACTACCTGGGCCAGGTCCAAGGCTCAGGGGATACTGGAAAACTAGAGACTAGATCCAATGAGAAAAAGGTTGCCTAGATTGGGTGTAAGACTTCTGAGTACCAGAATGCTTGGTGATGTTATCTCAAAACAATATAGAAATGTTAAAAATGACATTTTTGGAGACTGATTGAAAGCAGAGGGCTTTCATGTGATTCAAATCTCAATCTAAGAGGGGTTGTTATCAACACTTATACAGGCACAAAAAGAAATGGAAAAGAATTTAAACCTTGAAAATCTGAAGAAATACTGCAGAATACCAGATACTTAATGAAACACATAAAATAGGGACATTTCAAGCAAACACTATATGGAACTGTGGGGACCTAAAAAGTTTTTCTCCCTAAAAAGTTCTAAAAGAAGCACTGTTTGACAAAGCACTCAGCTGGCTAATCAATAGCAATGGAATAATTTCTTTTCAAATCAACTGAAAGAACTACAATACATACTGGCAGGAGTTTCACTACTGCTGTATACTATTGTTATCATTTAGATAAACACCTGGAAAACGGGTTCCCCAGTTAGTGATCATGACAACTACTAAATGCCTAACATTTTAAATCAATGCCTTCTATATAAATTATTTCATCTGATTCAATAACTCTGAAGTGGGCAGGGTAGGTATTAAGATTTCCATTTTACAACTGAGAAGATAAATAAGTTAAAATTCTGAAAAGTTGCTACGTACCAAACATTGTAATAAGTGACTTACATAAGTTTCTCACAACATCCCAATGAATTAAATACTAGTTATCTTCATTTTACATATGAAGAGACTGAGGCTTAGAGATGTTTAATAATCTATTTGAAGCCACACATCAACAATTGCTCAAACTGGAATTAAGATTCATATTTGGCTGACTCTAAAGCTGCACTCTCATTCATCATACTAACCATCAAGGGCTGGAGAGATCTGTTAAGTTGCAAAAGTTCACAAAGCAAATGGTTAGCAGTCAAAATTAGAAACCAGGTCTTCTGACTTTCTGTTCAGAACCTGTCTACCACACTGAAATGGTGAATATTTGATGCATGTGAAGTCCTTTATTAACAGAACACACAAAAACTGAGCACCAAAATGCTATGTTTTCCAACTATACAAAATAATGAGAGGAAGGGAGAAAAACTACTTCACATTACCAAAAAAAAAAAAAAAAAAAAGGAAACTGTGCTAAGTGAAAATTGGCAACTGTTAAAGTATACAAAATTCTAGTCAAAATAAAAATCAATAACAAAAATTGAGTTCTTCCAAATAGCTCCTTTTTTTAAACTAAATTTTGTTAAAGGTTTCTCCATGCATAAAACATCAAACTGAAAAGCATCTGATGCTTTGCTGAAGAAAGCCAAAAGCATGCTGTGGTAGTTAAAAGAATCTTCTATTATGACAATTAGTTTATTCTCTAAAACCTTGTAATGCTCTTCAAATCAGAATAAATAATTCCTTCAACCTTTGCAGCAACTCAAACTAGTTCTTTATGGATAAAAACAAAACCAACTACATTGTTTCGTCTGTTTTAGAATTTGACTCTTACCTCCCCATGTTTTGGTCCTGTGAGTCTCACTGTTATGAGGGGCACTTCAGGAAGCCGACCCCATTTTAGCGACATGATTCGACCCCCATGCCAGGAAATGTGCTCTCACGGAAGGAGGGGCTCATGCCTGCAGGGCAGAGCTCAGCAGCTTTGCGCTGCCACTAGCGAAACCGTAAGAGGAAGCCAGAGACTGGTTGAGAAAGGGAAGGAGGGAGGGCTGAGGCTGCTGGTTTCCTTAAGACAATCTTAACTATTTGAATGCTGCCTAGTAAAACTACCCCATTAATAAAAGACACAGGAAATGAAACAAAGCTAATCCCCCCAAATACAGTGTATGTGGATAGTGCTTGCATTGCAATAGGGCAACTCTTGCAAAGGCTGATGGTATTTTTAATGCTAGAAGGAATATATATTTATTTATTTACTATCAAACCCCCAATTTTATAAAAAAGCAGAATTTCATAAATGTTTTTAGTGAAGTTGCCTATGATAAAGTAGTGGTTGACTGTTTTCTCAAGTTTGACTTGTTCACCTTTAATAACTGTCAAAATGTTTTAACTATGTGGTGTGGAAATAGACTCTAACAGTATTTAAAAGGGAAAGGTATCAGTAACAACTATGTTACTATAATAGGATACTATGAAAGAAAATGTATTTTCACTTTTCTAAGTCTTTCTTTTTAGGCAAGTTAACTGTAGTTAAAAAAAAAAAAAAAAAAAAACAGAATGCGCTGGACAACTGTGAAAACAATGTGATTAAACAACTGTCCAGGTACAAACCTTTAATTAAAGAAGAAAAGAGAGTTAGACTTAACATTGTCTTAAATCTTTATAAACATTAATGTACTCTGCTAAGAGTACATTACCTTTGAAAGTCTGATAAGCTGATGGGAATAGTTCTTTTTTAAACAAACCATAGGAGCTGGAGTTGAATGTTTTGCTGTAAAGGTCATGTAGTATATTAGCTGAGCAGGAATTTTACCCATGTACTCCAAAATGCCTTTATTCAGTCAGACTAAGAATTGGTTTACAACGTTATCTAACCATCTTTTAGCTGTCTCTGCAAAGAGGAAAGCTTAGCAGGAGAGAAAACTAGAGCAATAGGATGGTCAATCCACTCTCTTTATGAAACTGAACATTGTATTTGAGTGTTTAAATATTGCTAACAAGTAAACCTACTTAGCCGGAAACAGAACTACCTCTCTAAGATACTAAGACAAAAGCAGAAACTACCAGTCTTCCTGTTATACTTCCTGTTTAGGCTCCTCCACTCCTTCCTGAAAACATTCAACATATTTATCCAATAGTAAATCAGTTATTGATAACTCTCAAAAGGACATGTGAAAGAATTGATAACTAAATTTCCTTTACAGGCAAAATATACCAGGAAGGTGAATAATTTGCTGTTTAATTAAAGAAGAAAGGAGAGAATTAGACTTAACTTTGTCTTAAATCTTTATAAACATTAATGTACTCTGCTAAGAGTACATTACCTTTGAAAGTCTGATACGCTGATGGGAACAGTTCTTTTTTAAACAAATGAGTTTGGGCTTCTTTGAATATTTTTAAAGAAGTGTTTACAGTCAAAATTTAATATATTTTATGTAATAAATCTAGGCTAATAAGCTATTTTATATAAACTATAAGCTATTTTATATAAACACACGTATCATGCAGAAGAAAAGCAGAAATTTCCAAACCACCTGTAGATAAGAATTATAGGTGCCAATTTAATATGATATTCAGTAGCTTAAAGTTTTCCTTTAGAAGAAGCAGGCATGGTTACATTGTTCAGGAGATGAATAAGACAAGCTGACTTTGATAGCATATACTTAAAAATAATTAGAAAGAAGTGAAAATTTAACATTTTCATAGAAAAGTCAGTGTTAACATTTATATTAGTTGTTTTTTTTGAATTTTTAATATTTATTTATTTTTTAGTTTTAGGCGGACACAACATCTTTGTTTGTATGTGGTGCTGAGGATCGAACCCGAGCCGCACGCATGCCAGGCGAGCGCTCTACTGCTTGAGCCACATCGCCAGCCCTATATTAGTTTTTTTATCATTAAGGAGAAGTAATATTATTTAGTAGTTAAGAAAAGAGAATGAGAATCATCATGCTAAAAAATATATTTATTTATTTTTGTGCTATCAATTAGAAAATAAAATGCTTTTGTATGGCAAAGTTCTTCTGTGGACATGTGGCATCTTGAGACAGGGAAATTAATGTAACTCAACACAGCATGTATAACTTCACTATTTCCCCATTTCTTATTATCTTTGGTGACACTAACAAAATCCAAGCATTTCTACAGGAGGGTTCATAACAATCTTATTTAAAAGTTAATAAAAACTAACTATGAAAGGGGATGTTTTAATATACTTGGCCACTGGGGCACTCTTGATACCTGATAATGGAAAAGAGATTGCAACCCAGGATTATGCATCTGTAATTTTTTGAGTTTCCATTGCTAGAGACAGCACAGCCCCCAAAGATCAAATCTTGAAGTCAAATCCAAAAGAGGAACCAGTCTCAATTACAAAAGAGTATTGTCATTTTGATGAAGGAGATGATCAGAAGCAAGAGGTCAACTGCTTCTGCCAGTGATGACAAATTTCCATCTAACAAAAATTATCAACTTTTCTTCTATCTTATCTCAACTCCCTAACTCTAATCCTCTGAGATTAGGGGAAAAAATTATAAAGAAGAAAAAGGAAAAATATATACTGCTTAATAACAGATGTTGTATAAAAGTAAGCATGAGGGGCTGGGGAAATGGCTCAAGTGGTAGCCTGCTTGCCTAGCATGCGTGAGGCACTGGGTTCAATTCTCAGCACCACATAAAAACAAAATAAAGATATTATGTCCACTTAAAACTAAAAAATAAATATTAAAAAAAAAAGTAAGCATGAAATGACCAGTGTTGTTTGCTGGTCAAATCACAAGAGGTTTTGCCTTAATACAGTTCTGTGGCTTGAAGCATACTTCTCTGTGCTTCAGTCTGTTAAGTAAGGAGGCTGGGATATGACTTTCTTAAAGGTCAGGTTCCAGTTTCTAAATCCAGTCTTACACCGATTAAAAAAAAAATGTCTTGTTATATCATCAACATCAGTGGTATATTTACTGAACTCTTCTAAAAATCCATGTAATTGGGGACATTGATAGAAACGGGAATCTACTCACTCACTGGTCTTCCAATTAAAAGTTTGTTTGAAAACAAGATTTGTAGTTTAAAAACACTATAAAAAATTCTAAAATCATTCAAATTATATCATAAAAATTTTCAAGGTCAAGGCTGTGAGCTCTAGAAGTTAATATTTAAATATGTGATTAAGCTAGAAATGAATTGCTAAGACTGCATCTTTTCCCAGTTGTTGACTCTCTCTCCTTTTGCAATTGGGCAGGATAAATACAGAGAAGACACAATTCTGATAGCAAATTTTATGGAAAAATTTCTTTGAGTGATGACTTAGTATTTGCTAAAAAAGAGATCTTATTCACAAAAATCTGTAAAATACATTGGCTTTAGTTCTATCAGCCCATTTAATTGAGGGTACAACAGACTTAGTGCTGAGGTAAGGGGGTATATTTTTATAACAATATCCTTGAGTTCTGTGCTTATTCCCTCAACTTCTAAGTGTGTTTATGTATTTATACATATTTGTATATACAACACACAGATGTATACAATGATTCCTTATAAGAGTACTTTGATTTCAAATCTTTGTTTACTTATTCTTAATTGTACGGGAACATATGTAAGTAGGTGAATGGAGTACAGGGGAAATGGAAGGCAGAAAGTTTCTCACCACTGATTTGAAAATGTTAAGAATATTTATTTCTATGTGGGGTTATCACACGATTTTTATTTTCTTGCTTTTATATTTTGAAGATTCCTAAAATAAAAATGTAAGAATAAACTAGATAAATAGTTGAGACTAAATAATTTCTTAAGCACTAAAGAGGATATTAAATTAGTTTTAAAAATTCTTGTAATTTTCTGTGTGAGAATTTTCTTCCCTCTAAACCCAAGCACTATATATATTTTCAGTCCCCTAATCTTGGCATTAAATCCTTCTACTGCATTTTAAACCTAATTTACTAATTTAAGCACTGTGGCTACGAGTGTGGGACCAGAAGTCAAAGAAATCTAGGTTTGAATCTCTATTTCCACATTAGATAAGGTACCACGCTCCGAGAGAAAGGACCTATCTTGCAGAGTCATTGAAAGGATTAAATAAAGCAATATATGAATGGCCCTTAGCATGTAGTAAAACCTCAGTAAGTAGCCTCACCTCTTGCTGCTGTTTTTTATTACTATTACTTTTCTTCATATACTAGGCTGTTTCAGAGATGACCCTGAATTTATTTCTATTTATGATCCCATCATTTAGTTAGCTTTTGGGTGTATGCAGGCTGTGACATGAGCTTACTCATTACCGACTGAGGTAGTCACACAAGGAATGCCCACTGTGATACTTACCTTGCTCTTCTTACTGCTGGACATTTTATTCCTGATGTAGCTGAATGTACGACTGACTTTTGTTCCACTTTTCCCTTCAAAATCTTTCTTGGAGGGGCTTTGTGGCAGGAAGTTATAGTTTTCTTCAGTTATACTAAATAAAAACAAGATTGAGTTTTTTAAAAAATTGTTTTTTTAAAGGACTACAGAAGTTAAATGGAAGAATAAGAGTTGTACAGAGGCTGCTGAACAGTTTTATATAATATCTAAGAACAAGATTATTAATTATTGTATGTCAAACTTCTTAATCTAAAATAGCACTCAATCTCTAAACTACTTTGTAACAAATAGACTCTTGAAAGGAAATTCTGTATATATAATGGAATAAGAGTACTTAATTAATAAGGGCTGTGAACAAACGAATCTTATGACTGACTGCATATCCAAGTTGCTTAGTAGTAGAGTTTTGCACATATTTTCTAGCCTTCTGGCACACTGGAAAAATCAAGACTGGTCCATGAGGCTATGCACAATTTTAGGAGGGAATATACTGAATATCAGGCAGATTCCAAGCAGAACACAGAAAGATAAAATAATTTTTCAAAGATCCAGATTTACTGATCTACTTGTTTAGGAAGCCTATATAAAATCCAAGTCCATCCAAGATAGGCATGTTTTGACCTTAAAAAACTCACAATGGACAATTTTCTTAAAAAATACTTAAATAATACATTAAATGGAGAAATAATCCATTTATACTACCTTGTTTAGGTGTTTGAGAACAGTTATTTTACATCTTTCCTTCAGATCAAGCAGTATTGGCCTCAGTGAGAAGGCAGGCAGAAGTAGGACTATAATGTGTCCCCTTCAAAAGCTAAATTCTATTGATATACACATTGTTTACAAAACAAATTAGTCTGTTTTTAAGATAAAAGACAAATGGCATAAAAACCAATGCTCTTGAAAAGAGAAAGAAAAGTTCCCACAAACAACGTGTGCATAAGGTCATGAAGTCAAATATAAGTATACCTTTAAATGAATAAATGAACATAAGAATCTTTATCACAAGGGCAATATTAAAGAATAAAAGTGGAAAAGTACTGAAGATAATAATTTAAAAAGATATAGCCTTCACCATGTATATACGGTTTAGTCAAAATGAACCCAATTACTATGTGTAACTATAATGTTCTAATTTAGAAAAAAGAGAGATAACCTTCATTATAAATCTACTTCTGATAATTATTCCAAATGTACCATTCAAGGAAGTAAGAACCCAATGAGCTCAAAAAAGTTTTCTTAATTACATGAAATAGAATAGTTTGGATTTTCTTAATTTCATTCTGGGAAAATGAGTGACAAAATAAATGGACAGTACCTCTCAGTCAGATTAGCACTGGTGCTGTGGAAAGGCCGTGAATCTAGGAAACAAAAAAGGGAAAGGGAAAGTTAAAACAAAAGAATTTTACCCTACTGACAGATAAACTATTTCAAGATTTTCCCATAACTAAAGTAACGTAGAGTTTGAAAGTCAGTGTATGGTGCTACCTCCCTTCACAGGTTTTGGAAGAAGAAAAAAATAGAACTTGAAACCTTCAAATTAGAGCTGGAAAAAGATAGCAATATGGATTTCCCATGAATAAAATAAATTTATTTCAAGATTCAACCACCTGGGGGAAAAAAATCAACATTTTTCTAATGCTTAAACTTATTTATGCTCTTATCAATGTAAAATTTCCACATTTCCACATGCCATTTTCCTAAATGATGTCACAGGGAGAATTTATAAAATAAAAATTAAAATATCATATTTTTCATTGTTAATCCTTCTTTCACATATTTATATATTAAAAATTTAATATTATCTGACATTTTCCTAAGAATTTCTAGAAACAGATTAGTGATCAGGAGGAAGCATCAGAGCTTGCTTTTTGTAAAGTCTTGGCCCTGCCTCTAACTTAGGGCAAGACATTTTGATTTCAGTTCATTCCTCAGTCTATGAAATACTGGGGATAAAACAGATGATAAAGTCCTTCCAGGTAGAGAGTGATAACATGAACGGGGCAGATGCATTCTTTCTTGTTAATGGAAGTAACCCATTAACAATCCAAGGCTAAATCAGACAGCAGGAAAACAAGGAGAAAAAACCCAGAAGGAACAGCATCATTATTTCCATCTATCATGTTAATGCAGTTTGAGTACTGAGGACTTGAAAGCAAGGCCCCAATCACAAAATGATAAATGGGTTTCAATTTTTAGTGAGACCAGGTATAGAAATACTTTCCATGTATATTCCAGATAGATACAGCTTGCTCAGTAAAAGTACTATTACCACATAGACAACACATACTCTTTCTCTTTGAGGTTAGTTTCAAGCATCTCTGAGATTACTCTGAGTAAAAAAACTTAATCTGATACAGATATGAAGATGTTCCACAACTGGATTCTCAGATTATTTTAAATTCCCCATCTGTTCTAGGATCTGAACAGAAATGCAAAATTCTAGTTAGTTATTACTATAAGAAATTTAAATAGTTAAATTTAAATAGGTGGAAATAATGCATTATAAACTCTAAAAATAATCCTTAATCTTCAAGAGAATGGTTTCTATGCTTTTTCTCTTTTTCTACTTGGGGATCTTCTACTTCACTTACAAGGCCTGGTAACAATAACCAGGTGACAGGAAAAGATCAGTGGGGCAAGAATAAGGATATCTGAGCTCAATACTCCAGGTTCTGCACCATTTAGGTATGAAATTATCAATGTACAATTTCCACATGCCATTTTAACCTCATGATGTCTTAGTTGGCCAAAAAAAAAAAAAAAAAAAAATCAAGATGGTGGTTTTAATCAGTGGCTTTAAAATGATTCCCACTTAAGAGGACTTTGATGATAGAAGCAGCATTAAATTACCTCAGGCTGCCAGTATTCTGCTATACTTTTAAGCAAATACCTAGTAAGATGCCACCCTAGTGATAAAAATAAAATAAATAATGCAGAAAAATACTCAACACAAAGCTTGGCAAGGAATAAGCTATTAGTAGATTTCAATGGAATAAATTAAAAACTGAACAAATGTGATTAGGTACTGGGAGAAATCTATGACTCCTGTAAGTATTCCCAACTTATTCACTGCCCAATTTTTTTTTTTTTTTTAAGTTCAGTTACTATGACTTCTTAGAGGTATTCTGAATACTGATTATTTCACCAATGCCTGTAAAATTGCTAACTTTTCATTAAGTGTTCACAGTATCTGAGAATACAAAACAACCAAAGTTATATCCATGACAAAATCAGAGATTTTGGTTAAAGTTAGTCCAAAAGATATTATTGCAGGTAAATAACATTTCAACCAGATTATTTTGAAGGTGCAAAATAACGTGCAGACCTATTATAGTATATACATACAGGGACTTTCAGCTGCAACTACTAGCCAGTCAGGACCAATAATTTTCAAAATGTGTTCCATGGAACACTTGTTTAATGAAATGTTATAGAGAGCTCTGTACATTTATGATTTCCTAGTTGATAAAAATGGGGAACACAGCATATCAAATACTGCCTTGGAATTTTAGAATGCACACACATTTATCATTTTAAATCTGCTTAACCCAGAGATTTATTACTTTATTCAGGTATGAACCAACTCCTTCTTTTTTCTTCACCCACCTCCTCACCCTGCCATAATTCCCATTGGCATTTTTGAATTGAAAGAACACATTTTGAGAAACACTACACATTTGATTCAAAGGTTTCTTCATCAATTTCTATACTTTAAGGACTCCATCATGTTGGATTACTGAGTGACCAGTGGATTATAATTCTGTTTTGGTGGTAGAAAAAATACTATTGGGACATTGGTTGGTTTGTCATGATGACCTGGAGAATATTATCAATTCACTATGAAGAAACAGCTTTGGAGAATTTCAGAAACTTAAAGATGAACTCATTTCTACTCAAAGTTGAAGTGGATTTTTGCAACTTTCCTCCTATTACAGCTGGTAATGTAATGTAAATATATTTTTGTGTGTTTATTTCTCAAATATCTTTTAACAGTGGAAAATCTACTGAACACTAATATGGCCTCCATTTAAAACTAAACTAACTAAACCAACTAAAGTTTGTTACTGTGCCCAAGACACTTTTATATAAAAATAATGCAAAATGCTAGCCAGAGCAATACTAATGCATTGCTACAATTATGGATCAGCAAGAGGAAGGGGATTAGGGTTCTCAATTACATGGACTTAAATGTTTTAGAGTCATAACATAAGTTATATAAAATGAAAGAAATTCATTATTTAACTTTGTAATAGAAATTTGTTTCTATTAAAAACAGCAATCCTGTAATACTGTATAAATTTTGTACAATAGAAGACAATCATTTTCCTGAAGGGGGATCCATTTCCTTTCCAAGTTTACTAAAACTGATTATCTTATAATGTTTTTAAACTAGGTTTTATTAAGACTATATTCATCTGAAACCTCTAGTTTGCCAAAAGGACAGAAACATAGATAAAATAAAAGTTCAAAAGGAGACCAAAAGGAGACCCATCCCCTAATCTATAGGTGCTAGTCTCAAAGTTAAATTATGTTTTTAAAGAGATGTTCTGAAATGGTGAGAAGAAAAGAAAATATGGTATTAGGAAAGTATAGTGTTCTGGAAAGATGCACTGTGCCTTGAACTCAGGAGGCCACTGGATTGATCAGGGTCAGTAGTGTACAAAAGACAAGAACTATTTTATCCCTATAAAATTTCACGCCTGAAGTCAAATGATTTATAAAAGATGGCATGCAAGGAGTAAAAGTTCTCAAACAACTTTTCAGTACCAAGCCTACAGCATTTTTAGAGCTGGTCAGATGTTGGAGAACAGCCACTTGACACCAAAGTTGCTTACTTACTATGCAACTCCTCCTCCTCATCACTGGAAGAAGAAGAGCCAAGAGAAAAGAGAGTTTTAGATTTAAGGAGGAGTGGAGAGATGCTGATGGAGAAGGAGATCCGCCTTGCTGGCTGCATCTGCTGCTGAGCTGAGAAGTAGGTTAACAGAGAGACATTAGTGCATGCACAGATTATGCTAAGATAAAGTAAAAGGCATCTCTGACCCATGTGGAAACAGAATGTCAATGACTTATGGGGTTCCAAGAAAGGCTATCTAGGTAAACAATGTAATTAATGTACTTTTAAATTTCTATATATACAGAATTCTAATGCAGTTAAAAAAAAAACCTTGCCCAATAAATATGTACTTGTTAAATTACAGAAACATGAAGTACGCTATTTTTAATGGTCACCATTCATAGCTGGAGTTTTCTTCCTTAAAAGCTGTAGGGAAAATTTCTAGTAGTGCCTAAAAAGTCACTGGGTATATATTTGGGCCAATATTTCACTTTTGACAACATTTGTGCCACAATTCCTCATCTGTGTTTAGCTTTCTTTTCCCCCACCCTAAATTTCATTTATCTCCACATTGTATGACAATGTGCATACAATATTCCGGTGATTAACATCTTTCTAATCTTTAAGACACATCTCTCCTTTCAGGGATAGACTCACTTACCTCATTGCTCTCCTACAGATGAAATACTCCCCAGGTAGCTGAAACTAAACAAGTATATGGAAGAAGTTAACTAATCTTTTCCTGCTCCTGCATTTGTGAGTGGTACCTAACATCTAACAAGTTACTCAAAATAGAAAAGTAGGTACCATCTTTGAATCCTTATAGCACTCTTCCTCAGAATTCTTGACTTTGTCTTCTGGCTCTCTCTGAACCTCAACCTCTCCTCTCCTGTTATTGCTCTAAATCTGGCTCAGATCACCATCCTATTGTCAGGTGAATCCTGAAAAAGCCTTCTACTGATCCACTACCCTCTACTCAGACACTTCCATACATCAAATTCTTTTAGCTGCTCTACTATTTTCTATTAGACTCATTTGTTAACTCTATAGGTTGCAAATGTGGGCAGGAAAGAAACCGTATCTGGTAAGTTCATCCCTCTCCTACCACTACCTAGTTTGGGACACAGCAAAGAGTAGATACTCAAATATGTAGTGATAAATAAATACAACAAAGTAATAAATAAATTTTCCTTATCAGGCTCTAGGAATCTTAAGATTCCAAAAGTAATCACACACACACACACAAAATGCCCTGTACCTACTGGTATGCAAGCCACTCCACACCCCAGATAAATGCTGAATGATGTCAGACTATTTGTTGTCTACAGTCACTGCAGGTAACAGAGACCAAAGAAATGTTGGCACAAATAAATGTAGAGTGGCTTTTTAGGCAGTCATAGCCTTGTGTAAAAACTAAGATTACTGTAATGTGTGTCCTTTTAAAATATTTCAAAATATAAAGCAAATTTTGGAAATGAAAATGAGCTGCCTTATTATCTATAATCAAGGAGTATATTCTCATGTTAAGAAATCATGGATAAGTAAAAACCTTATTGTTATGAATATCTAAAAAATATCCCTAACATATATGAAAATCTTCAACATATATGGAAAGATGTTATGGTAACACAGTGATGAAAGTTTATAATATACTCAAAGCAAACACAATACACATATCTATGGTATACTATGCACATACATGTATATATCTACACAAACACACAAAGTCTTATAATTTAACCAAAAGATCAATAAAAAGCCAATTTATTGGATGAAATTTATTCTTTCAGACATATTAATCAATGCTGCCTTCTCCAAATAGAACTAAGAAAATATATGTTTTTCAGTAAATTTCCATCCCACATTGCATAGTTAGAAATAGAGAGCCAGTATAGAAAATGGAGATGAAATAATCTCATTAGCACTGATGCCTAACTTTTCAGAGGCTCACTCTTAATCTCTGGTCATATGGGTTATTTATCATTTTAGGCCTAGTAGAAATTATATATTAATGCCAGTGTTCAGTTCTCAAGATGGACTTCGCTTTTACAGTGTACAGCAAGCTATATAATTATAAGCCAGCACTCCCACCAAAACATGCATGAGAAACTGGGCAAACACACACTAAGTAAAGATATAAGAATGATCCCAAGGTTAAGTGTCATCTGTGAATACCCTTCTCGATGATGACAGTCCATGCAAACTGAAGGGGAAAATAAAATCATTAATAAGCACATTAGGTTAACACATCTAGTGGGCATAATCTGCCTTTAACATTATCACTTCTAATGTAATTAAAGAGTTCTGGGATACAATCAAGCAGTTTCTCTATTGTCTACAGCATCTTCTGGGTAGCAGCAATGAAAAGTACTAAAACACAGTCTTGAAATGGAATAATCTATAATAAATGGATTATTCTGCATATGCAAATATGAAGTTTATTCTTAAATTCTATCAAGAAACCATTTAAGTTTGTCTGCTGGGAGACAAAAGCCCCAGGCATTCTCTCTCTGACTCAAGGAGAACAAATGCCATTAACACTTTTGCTGGAGTGGATTCCCTCAGGGCAGTTCTCCTACTAATGCCTCAGGACAGAGCCAGCCCCTCAGCTATTCCCTGAAAAAAACGAGCCAGCAAAACATGTTCATCTTGTTCTTTCAAGAAGGGAGTTTTTGCAGCTTTCCAGCCCTAAATAAGATGTCTACTTTCACCTTGGAAAATGATACAGAAATGTTTTGGTCACCCCCTTTAGTATTTTCTTCCACATCAATGGATTTTGAAACAGTTCCCACCTTAGAAAAAGAAATGCTACAAGTTTATCTGTTTTTTTCTAATCTAGCAAATGACCCAACAAGACACTTTTGACAATAACTCAAAGGATATACATTTTCAAAACTGCTCAAATGTTAACAGCTGTGAAAAAATGTGGTAGAATCAGTTAGTAATTTTTTGAGGAGGAGGAGACAGAGCACAGATAAAAGCTGGGAAGCAGTAAGGTAGGAATGACTTCAAAGCATTCTGTTCCTAAACAAGCATGAATGCTCATAAGACACAGCTACCTATGAGACAATGTTCTTGTCTCTTAACACTGCTTAAATTCTGGTCAGAGAACAATCACTCCTTGACACTGTTGTGATCATTGTGAACCACAATACTCCATAGAGATAACAAAAGCTTATTATATCATAGGAAATATGCTAAGGCTCTAAATAAATTCACATTTAAGTCATATCACATTATTATTCTTATTTAATAGTTGAAATGATTTAGGAAGAGTTTCTGGAATAAGCCCCAAGTCTTGCAGCCATTAAGTGTGCTTACAATATAATATCAGGATATTTTAGATATCAAACTCTTCAGGCTTTAAAAATCAACTGTAGATTTAATGATGACACTTTCCACTAGGAAAACCATAAACAAAGACGAACCATGCAGAGTCTTCAAGACGTAGAAATGGAGGGAGCTCTGACTCTGCTGCAGATTATGAAATATCCAGTTACCCTGATGCTTAAGGTATATTAACAATATTAATTTTATCTTCAACAGTCAGAAGTTTAACATTTCCAAAAAAACTTATGGTCATATTTCTAGAAAAAGATAAGAAATACAATTGGGAATTTTATAAACTGTATATGGGAAAAACTAAAGTGAAGTAGTGATATAAACAGTGATTCATCTTCCAATATAATATATGCCAATTTAGGGAAGTAAGAAATTAGTTATTCAAAACTAAATGAAGTGCATACTATAAATCAAAATGAGGGTACTATGTGCTGATGAAAGGACTAAAATCTTGCTTCAAACTCTTACTCTTGACAATAGTCTACACTGGTTTAGGTAGTCAATAGGCTGGGTAGATAATTTCCCAGCAACGGGGGGGGGGGGGGAAGAGGAAGCTATATGTGCCAGAATCTGTAAAACAGTGTTTTCTGGGCATTAGCCACATTATTTATAGTGTTTGAATAGCAACTGAAAACACAGTAAAAAACCATATTGCTTTTGGAGGAAAAACAATAAAATAAAAGTATTTCATCCACAAGGAAACTGTGTGTCAGATATTATAGGAAAAAGATCTCTCTATGGAACACATTCTGTTGGAATTGGTTTTATCTGTCACTCAAGGAATAGGACTTCCATTGTGCCATAACACTTTCTGGTCACAGAAGGAAGGTGTATGGAGCTGAAAGTCTCAGAGTATTTTTCTGCATTTCTTTGGCTGTTGCACTCCAGCACTCTGGCTCATCAAATCCATTGAAACTATAATATCCACTCTCTATCAGCAAAACCTTTAACTCAAAGTCAAGTCAAAGTAGAAAAGGAAAAGCTATTTGTGTCACAGTTTTGTGAAGTTATATCTGTATCTTTGAAAATATATTATCAGGGCTGGGGTTATGTGTGGCTCAGTGGTAGAGTGCTTGCCTAGCACGTGTGAGGTACTGGGTTCGATTCTCAGCACCACGTATAAATAAATGAATAAAATAAAGGTCCATCAACGTCTAAATAGTTAAAAAAAAAAAAAAAGAAGAAAATACATCATCATTAGGCATAGATTTGTATTTGAAATGCTAATCATGTGAAAATAAGGACAAATTTAACAGAATCATCCATTTTGTCTTAATTCCCCTGTGGAAATTAAAAAGATTAGGCTTGCAGTAAGCCATGAAGTAAGAAAAAACATCCCACTGATACAGGGAAGCTGTTCTGGCTCCATTGTTTCCAACTGAGTTATAAAATCAGGAGACACTAAAAAAACAGCCGAGATACAAATAGCTTGTGTTTGCTCCTTTGCTTCAGCATCCAGAATACTTGGCCTTTCAGCAAAGAATGTTGTACATCACTCCCTCTTTGACTTAACCTTTATATCAAGATCTCATATTGCAATTAATTGTTTAAAAAATATATATTATATCTATCTATCTATCTTTTGGAGGAGGTGTTTTCAAACATGGTGCTTTTCTATGGCATTTATCCAGTTCAAATGTTTCTCAGCATTTTTTATCCACAAAACCCTGTGTTTATGGATACCACGACATCTCTATGTACCAACTCTACACATCAATGGGCATGACTCTGCATACAATTCCACTAGTGTTCCTCCTGGTACTGCTTCACTAAAACTGAATTTCGGTTAGTCTTTGCCCTTCATGAGCTTGACAGTTTTGATGTATTCAAGTCAGTTACTTGTTGAGAGTATCTCTACTGATCTTTATTAACTGAGGAATACTTTCAAATTAAAAGAGACTAAAGAGACATGGCCACTTAAAATTTTGACATATGTTCCTGGATTAGGTCCTAGATGCAAAAACAGGTGAAAAAATTTTAAATACGAATAAGGGATGCATATCAGATAACATAAATTTATCAGCATTACATTTCCTGATTCAGATAACTGTTCCATGGTAACATGAAAGCACATCTTTGTTAGGAAATATACAATAGATTATTTAGAGGTTAAAAGAAAACATTGTGATACATACTCTATCAGGTGTTTCAGGAAAAAAGAAACTTAAAGAGTGATAGAGACTGAAAAAAAATGAGTATTATGGTAACATTTGGGAATTCTGGTGAAGAATTTATGAGGCTTCTTTGTACTGTTTTTGTAATGCTATGTGTGTGTGATGAGGGTCATTTGCATTTATTTTTCAAGTCTGAAATTATATTAAAATAAAAAGTTAAGAAAACTGTCAGATTTACACCCAACAATATAGTAAATTTAATGTATTAAGGAGATTTTTTTAAGTAGCAAAAAAAGGAAGATTCCAAATTCCGTTTCCTTGTCTGTTTAAGTGCTGAACCATTTATTCAGAGGAAGAAGCAGGCAAATTTTGGAAGTTAATGTTATAGGACCTTAAAGTAAAAAAGATGATAAGAAAGTGGATAAGATACAATATATTTCATTTTTCAAACAGTAATAATACTTACTGTCCAATCCAGGATGGCTGATTGTCATTAAGGAGATGGATTTTGTCAATGGAGAAGAAATGGCTGATGTGCAATAATTAAATCCCCGTTGCTTAGGTCTGTGACATGTCTATAAAGTAAAAAAGTAAAGAACAGGTACTAAGTACACCTTCTAATACTTCTTGACAAGCACAGAATTTATGCTCAGACACAACCCTGTGAATTAAGGCAGATTAGAAGGGAGCTAAGAGCATTCTTCCTAGTCAGATAGACTTAGATTCTAGTCTGCCTATGTCACTTAGTAACTGCTTAACTTCTGAGAAGTTACTCAGGTTTTCTGAAGCAGAGATAAAGTAGTCATCCTTTATAGTGGTTTCAGATCTCTCAGAGCCTCAAATAATATCTCAAACTAAGTAAGTCCTTAATGAATATGTGCTAGATTCACAATTTGAAAAAAAAATGATTACTCTGGAAATACCAAACTACATGTGGTACCTGTTCTTTGAAAACTATCTACAGAAATTCAGAATATTAGTAATATTACTTTGATTTTAAAGAGTTGAAATCTGAGATGGAAGTAAAAGTGTTTAAAGATCATAAGCGAAACAGCAGAGCATCTGGAAAGAACCTCAATCTCTTTCATTTCCTCTTCTAAGATAAGACTGATTCTACATGAACATGGGGGTGACTGAAATTCAGTAACTTAACTCCCTGAGTAAATTCACAGCAGCTTCAAGGCCATAAAATCCAACCAACCACAGAAGTTCCTGCTCAACATCCCTGAAAGTTAGACAGTATCACGCTTCTGGTGGTAAAGGGCTTCCTCCCCATTTCTTTTGAGAGAGCTCATTCTGTTAACCAATGTTAATTATCATCAGTCTCTTCATTGTTTAGTAGGATGAAATCTGTCTCCTTATGACTCACACATGTTGAAAGGGAAGCAATGAAAATCCATTACTAGCATGAACCCGACTCAATTGGGCCAGACTTCTGATTATTTAGAGCTTGTTCCCTGTGTAACCATGGAATCCAAGGCAAACAGTTGCTATGTTTCAAATACAACCATGAGGTCTAAAAAATGACCTCAGCAAAAGGCACAGACTTTCAACAGGAAGTTGGCTGCAGCAATTTGTACAGATCAGAGAGAGAGAAGCAGCTCACATACCTGCTCTGAGGTTGCACACAAGATGAAAAATATGGGTAAGCATAGAGTTCCAGGAAGGATATACACAGCAAGGCACTAAAATGCTGACTTTTACTAGCATATTGACTTTATCTGAAGAGTCAATCAGAAGGTCCATTTCAGAAGGACATCAGTGTAATGAACATCACAGATGACTCTGTCTTAAAAGGGTCTGTCAGATTCCTGAAAATATCAGTCTCAGAAAAGGTAGCATATAAAATAATATTAAGCAAACTAAAATAATCTCATTTCCTCATTAAAACCTGTCTAAAGAAATGGAAAGAGGCAGTAAGACCAACAGCTAGGAACTCTCAGTTTAATATACTACTCCACAAATAATTACATGTTATTAGGCAGGTCGCTTAAGTGGGCTCGAAGTTCTCATGTTTATAAGATTTTGAGAGATGAATCTGAAGGGATTCACTGATTCCAAGTACTTGATTCTCTTTGCAAATCTACAATTTGGGCATTTTATCTGGCCTTGTAATTGAATCCCCAAAGATTCCACCCATTTGAAATGCAATGTATTTTTCATGGCTTATTTACCTTCATCAAAGTTATACTTGATAGTCACCAAATAATTTTTACTATTTCCCCTCCTTTCTTTTGTCACCATCAGGCTGGATAAATCTAAACCGCTTGCATCAATAAGCATATTCTCTACAGTCTTTTTTTTTTTTTTAACTTTTTCTTATGTGGTTGATAAAGGTAGAAACTTTTAAAAACTTTTTAAAAAGTGGAAAAATTCCTTTATATCTTCAATTTGATTTTCCTTAGGCCTAAATTCTCTTATTCATCAGGCCTTAAAAAATCATAAATTCACTACCAAGATAATCTTTCAGTACCAAATTTATATTTAGTCATGTCAATGCTAAATAGGATGAAATAAGGAATTAAATTTCTATACAAAAAGCCCAGTAATCAAGTCAAACAACAGGTTGTTAATATTTATTTAAAAATGTTTCATTAAATTCCTATCTCAAACTATAGTCACCTATTCAAAGACACACACTTTACCTTTTGTGTGTTTTATTATAAATGTTTCATTTGAAAGAATTAAGTGGTATTCCACATTCTTTCAGAAATTAACCCAGAGTCTCCTTGCCCAAGAGAAAGAAGGAGGACTGTGGGTAAGGTAGGATGTTACAAAAGCATATAATTCCAATTCTCAATTCAAAAACTCCTCTGCGGTCTGGAGATATAGGTCAGTTGGTAGAGTGCTTGCCTCATATGCACAAGGCCCTGGGTTCAATCCCCCCACCTCAAAAAAAAAAAAAAAAAAAAAAAACCAAAACAAACAAACAAAAAAAACCCCAAATTACTCTGGGGTGTCAGAGGTGACAATGAGGGGCCTAATGTGACAAAAAATAGGATCAAGTCACTTGATTTGACTGACAAGGCCCATGACTTGATAAGACAGGACTATGGTCAAAGGAGTTTCAAGCATGTGCTAGCAGGGGAAATTAAGAGATGATTAGGTGGTGACAAAGAGAGGGCAGGAGTGTAGATGTTCTGTAAAGAATTCTGGTAGTAACAGAAAGCAGAGGGAATCAATAGTCATCTCCTGTACAGTGTAGTAAAACAAAGTGTATTTTTTCTAGAAAGCACAAACTTGGGACATAATGTTTGAGAACTGGGAAATTTAGGAATGACATGTAACATACTTCAAGACTCACTGTATTACTAAAGTGATAAAAGGAAGAAAAATTCAACTGAATATCCTCAATACTTTTCCATTTCTATCAAGTTGGCTTTGATAAAATATTTAAGTCTATGCAGATTAATGGTATTTTAAAATTAATACAAAGTACTAAAAACTTGCTTCAATGCTATATTATTAATGGGCAAGTAAGCATAACTACTAGCCTTATATGAACAGAGGTTTGCCTTCTGTTTCCTAATATGAGCTCTTTTTTGGGGGGGAAATAATATATTTTTTTTCCCAAAATTAGCAATATATAGATACATCAGCCTTACCTGCTGATCAAACTGCCTATGTTCTCTCTGGTCTGACTCCAGATCCTCTTCTGAAAGTGACACCAAAGAGTCACCCCGTTCCTCCCCACTGAAAGAGTGTCTGAGTTCTTTTGAGTCTGCAGAGTTTACTTCTAGAGATGAAGATGGATTGTTTCCAACACCAGTTCCTCCTGTCAAGCCTTCCAGACTGAAACTGAACACAGAGCACAGGAATTAATTCAATCTATTTGTATGTTATGGAATGGAAAGAGGACACAAAATCCCTTTAGTTTTATCTCCCTTGCTCATATAGTATTTCTGTGTCATCTACCAAAACTTTCTGTAAGGGCCTGTCACAATGAATGCCAGCTACCTTTGCCCCCAGAGGTCCTGGAATGCTAAGAATACTACACATAGATCTTTTTCACTTTGTTCAACTCATCTAAATATTAAACTAAAATCATTTTCTCACATTTTTCAATAGACCATATTTATCTTACTATCATTTTTAAAAAATTAATCAGTTGTTGTAATTAATCTTTGCCAGACTCTATCTCTGTTACATGCCAAATTTCACAGAGAAAATATTAGTAACTTCCAGAAAGCAAAGTGGCCGGTTTCTGTGTGTCGGGTACTTTTTATAACTTTACAATTACATTCTAGTTGACCTTTCCAACTTTACAGGTATACTTCCACCCAAGAAACCCTACTCTTACTCATGAGCATTACCATCTGTATTCGCCTATCTAGATAATAACTGGTGACAGGCTTCCTGAGAATTGTTAGTTGCAGATACACAGACATTACACCTCACATTAAAGAAAAAATGTTAAAAAGCTACAAGGTCTTAAGAGTTCTTTTGTCTTGATATAAGTGAAAGAAAAAAAAAACAGAGTTTGGAATTTTAAATGGGATCCTTGGGATAAAGATTCTGTGGTTTGCAATTACAAACATTTTCTGTAATCAGGAAGCTACATAGAGAGGGTTTAGTTATTTATCTTCCTTGGGTCTGCAAACTTGAATAATTCGCATTTGTTATAAATGCAGTGTGAACTTCTTCAAAATAAGCAAGTTCTCAAAATATAGTTGTAGCTGACCAGGTCCTCAGTTAACAACCAGTTGGAACTATATCTGGAGGTGTACTGAAGCTATTTAGTTACCTCTGGTCTGGGAAAGCTGTACAGTTAACTGTTACAATTAAGTTCATACATGCCAGACAAAAAGCCTTCTATCTGGCATTTTTTTTGGCTTCATAAATTACTTATTATAAACTAAAGTCATATGTGATGATTTTCTCTACTGAGTAAATTAAATAATAGGTTTTCCTCATTTTAATATGACAATAGAGATTATGACTAATTACAAGTAAATACATCTGTAAAACTCATTTTCAATACTAGGAATAAGAAGAAAGGAAACTTAGTTTTGTATTGTGAGTTATTGGGAAAGCCTGAGAAAACCAGATCTATGTTTTCCACAAAACTTAATACTAAAAATATTTTGGTAATTAAATTTGGCTGCTCATTTAAAAGAAAAATATGAAATGATGAGGAGTCTCTGAATTTGGAATCTGAAGAGACTGGTGGATTTAGAAGAATAACAAAAACCAGTGCATCTTAATAACTGTCTTGCTTCTCTCATTGTTTTCCTCATCTGAGAATGTGAACAGAACAAAACAAAGAGAGGCGTAGTCTACTATACAGAGACAAGTCTGTACAGAAAACACCATATCTACAGCTCTTGAGACAAACATGATACATCAGGATACATCACTGGGTTCTCCTAGGCCACACCCGTCAACTGAGTTAGTGATGCCCAGAGCAGAGACAATGGAACACTATGCCCACAGACAAAGAAAGCTGCCCATATACATTCCAGCCACACAGAAGCCAGCTAGCTCCAAGCCAAAAGCCAGATGCCATATTTTATAGTTTCTCATTTGCTGGCTGGACATACAATGATACTATACCTTCTATAATTAAAGTCAGCACTCAGGGCAGCAGAGTATTGCACACCAGAAGGACACCAGCTCATACTGGAGATGACATCAAAGGCAGAAACAGAAATGGAGGGAGAAAAAGGGAAACAAGTATAGAGTTATTAAGTTTAAAAAGAAAGGGTATAGTTAGAGACTGATGGATTTATTTAATCATCAACAAATTTAGGAATGTAACATTGAGAATTTAGAAAGAGGCTAGAATAACAGCCACAGAAACTTGAAATTGTTCAACTGATGTCCATCTAGACAATGTTTTTGAAAAGACTGAGCTCTTTACAGGATAATCAGTCCAATCTGAAATCCAAGAATTTTCTCAAGCGATCCCCTGGCAAAGGGCCTACCCCATTCCTGGCTTCCTCCTCAGACACTCTCAGAAGGGTGTTTCACCTCCACTACTGGGATGATTCCTCAATATACCACACTGCCCCCACAGCACTCTTACGAGGAGTTCTAATCCAGGACTAAAAGGAACAGTGACAAACTGTGCTAGGGTGGGCTCACTGAGTCATCAGTTTTGTGTTTTTTTTTATTCAGTGTTTTCAGTAAGGGTCCAAATTAGACCAGACAATTCATAAATCTTGCACGATATTCAGTCTATATCACATCTTCAAAAGCTACTTACTAGGCTCACCTGCTAAAAATAAAGCATGTGATAATGGCCATATTCCCTTGGACTTTAACTGTAATAAAGGGATTTTTTTTCCCCTTAGAATTCTATAGTACTGAGCTAGAAATTTATCTTTTAAATTTTAGTTAATATCCATTGTGCCCACAAGATTAAAGAAAAACATAAACAAAAAAAATAATTTGATCATCTACTTCCTTTCATTGACCTGGGGTTGGAAAGGCTAAATACATATAGCCAGCTAAAAAAATAACCAATTAAAAGTATCAGTTACTCTGTGAAGGAAACTGTATCAACATGTCAGGAATCCACCCTCCCAATTCCTTTAGCCTTTTCTTTGAAACAAACTTCTAGCGCTATGAGTCAGAATTTTTGATTAACAGAAATTATCATTAAAATATATGTGGGGGGGCTGAGGCTGTAGCTCAGTGGTAGAGCACTTGCCTCACACGTGTGGGGCACTGGGTTCAATCCTCAGCACCACATAAAAATGAATATTGTATCCATCTACAACTAAAAAAGTATTTAAAATGTGTGTGTGTGTGTGTGTGTGTGTGTGTGTGTGTGTATGTGTCTGTCTATATGTGTGTGTGTATATATACACAGCTGAGACACATCTCTGATAAGCAGGATCAGAGTGACTTATAATTTACCTGGGTGGACAGAAACAAGACACATTTTATAAACTCAGAAATACATTTTTGGAAGATATTAATTTTTAAATTTTACACACACACACACACACACACACACAGAGCTGCAATTTGGGCCTTAAAATGTTAAGTGATATGTGCTTTTTTTTTTCAAAAGGAATAAAAACAGAGCTGCTGGACAATAGTAAAACTGCTGGGTTCCCTACTGCCTCTTGTGAATGGGAAGGCCTGCAGGCACCAAAAACACCCATGGTGAATACATCTAAGAAGTGCTTGATTGTCAAGTGGCCTTCTGGGGCAGAGGAAAGAAAATGAAGAAAGTAGCGGGGGCACAACTTCTCCTATGACTCTTATAAAAGGAAATCTTTAAAACAGCATTTGAAAATAATTTAAACACTGGGCGTGTGGTGGTGCACACCTGAAATCCCAGCGGCTTTGGAGGCTGAGATAGGAGGAATACGAGTTCAAAGCCAGCCTCAGCAACTTAGTGAGACCCTGTCCCAAAATAAAAAATAAAACAAAGGGCTGGAGAAGTGGCTCAGTGCTTAAGCACCCCTGGGTTCAATCCCTGGTTAACACCCCCCCCCCAATTAAGTGATATAAAAGAGTTTAAATCACATTAAAATTAATAGTACAAAGCTCATAAGTGCAAAAGCAGAGAGCAGAAATACATAGCTGAGACACATCTCTGATAAGCAGGATCAGAGTGACTTATAATTTACCTGGGTAAACAGAAACAAGATACATTTTACAAACATATGTAAGACTCAGAAATACACTTTTGGAAGATATTAATTTTTAAATCTCTAAACTGTTAATAAATTGGGCCACTGTACCTAAATATCCAACTTACTGAAAAACAGATCATGGCAACTCAGTTAATTGAATATATGTTGCCAAATAATCATTCTTCAAAATGTCTTTTTACAGTTTAAAACACCTTACTCTCAGAACATGATAAGACGACAAAGACTTATCATGGAACATGGAAGACTACAAAGAAATTTAAGATGAAGAACAATAGGGACCCAAAAAAGATATAATAATATCTGCAAGGATCCACAGTAAACTGCAGATGGTCTATAATATCTGTCCCTTCCTTTTAGCAGAAAAATCATTTAATAATTATGGTATTTTTTGGACAATATCATAAATTCCTTAATTCTTCAAGTAAGGGGTATAATACTGAATGGTTCTTTTTTGGCTTTGAGATTTATAAGTTTCAGACTTTTAAAAAACAAACACTTCCTCTACTCTCCTGTTGGAATGTTTCAATTTTATAAACTTTAAATTATACATCATGTTCTTCCTAAAAAATAAAGTTTCACTAAGGGTAAAATTGTAACTGGGCTTATTTAAATCGATATGCTAACTGCCTCCAGTAACTTGCATCCTCCACTCTGTCATCAAGTGCACGTTTTAAAAAGTTCATAATGAAGAGCTTCTAATACAGAGCCTGACAAAAACATTTCCAGAGATTTTAGAATACCTTTTATTGAAGAAGGCATTTGAACAAGTTACTCCCCTGAAGGGAAATTTAATCAAAGACATGATCATTTAAGATTCATGATACTGTTTGAATTTAAGCTCAATTTTTGGCCTAAAATACGGAATTAAAGGAAGGACTCACTTGAAAAAGATGAAGTAGGCGAATCACTATTTGCCTGATTCCCAACACACTTAGCTGATAGATAAAAATACTTCTTTATAAATCTCTCTCAATATGAGAACCTAATATTAACAGAATTGTATTTTCCAAATAATGGATGAACGACTTCTAAACTTTATTGTTATTTTAATTAGTAAAACAAATTGTAGCTTTTGGCAAATTTAAAGCACATCAGCACTTCTGTGATTAGAAGCAACTTAGCTTACAAATTACTTATTTTTTGCTTCAAATTTTTATCCAACAAAATAATTAAGGAATTCAAAGGCTTATGCCTCTTAATTGCTTTCTGAAATGACAACGTCAACAACAGAATGGAAACTGCCAACTGACCTAGTAATAAAGTCTTTCATCATACTATTAAAGAATGTGTTGAAAATATTTAGGACCTGTGTATAAGCACATACATATTTCTGATTCTTCTTTTCCAGAGAGAAAGAGAAAGAAAGGTATTCCCCCGGATCCATTATATAGGCACAACACAGAAAATACTTTGAATTCTCCAATAAAAGTTGGGTGAGACTCTATTACCAAAGTTATCTGAACCAAGAAGCACAAGATGAAAAATATATTTCAAATATTTTAAGAAAATAGGAAAAAAATTTTAAAAAATTACTTCATATAGAATTGACATAAGCAATTATTGAGTACTGATATTTTATTTGCCTGAATTAGAAGTGATGTTATTTAAAAATAGACTGTTCAGGGGGCTGACGGGTACAGCTCAGTGGAAGAGCTCTTGCATAACATGCAAAAGGCCCTGGGTGTCATCCTTAACACTGAGGGGGGAGGAGGTGGGAAGAGGGACAAGAAATTGTCTAATTATGAATTAAGCAGGATGAAATATTGTTAGTATATGCTCAGAGGCGACATGGTTAGTCCATCAAGTTTGTGAACTCTGTACCTTCTCCTATGAATGGGAGGTCTCCTGACAACATCCCCAAGAACTCGCATTGAACTGAAAATGAATGATGGAAGAGGTCAGTGATGCAGGTGAAACAAAATGAGGTACAAATGCATGAAATAATCAGACACCACACTGGGAAAAGAGATAATCCCCAAAGATAAATAGCACAGGGAGTAAGAAAATGAAAGAATGTAAAATGAGAAAAATATCAGAACCAAAAAGGCCTGACAGATTCTGTGAAGGGCTACTTATCAAGATGACAACTTACTAAGTTTATTACATTATAAAAGTAAAGGGATCGGAAAAAAGGGTCATTCAAAACTTTAAAAGGATTTTCCTTAAGACTTTAACATCCAGGTAACACTACATGCAGATAACACCAAAAGAACCAGTCAAACTATTAGAGTGATAATTAAAACTTAATTCTCATTCCATTATCTCCCAAAGTATTAAAAATAGTGGTGGTAGGTAATCCTTAGCACTAAATTAAAACAGGCAATTCATGACCTACAGGTTAAAAATATAAGCAACTTATGTTATAGGGTTCTAATCTTTGATCTTGGATATCATGTAATCTTGGACATATCATCTAGTATGAGCTTCAATTTCCTCATGTGCACTACATGATATACAGTAGCATGGAGCTCTGAAATCAAATCATGATCCACAGTGGGTTATTAAAAAAATGTGTTTATATATAAAATTAACACTTATTCCACGATGCTGTTTGCATCTAACACAAGGATGTCCTATCAAGAAATTCCCTTAGGCTGAGGTTGTGACTCAAGGGTATAGCACTTGCCTAAGCATGTGTGAGGCACTGTGTTTAATTCTCAGCTCTGCAAATGAATAAATAAATAAGACAAAAAATTTTAAAAAATTTAAAAAAAGAAAAAGAAAAAGGTCCACCAACAACTACAAAACATTTAAAAAAAAAAGTTCCTTGCTTCAGGGAGAAAATTCTGGCTGTAGGGATCATTCTCCATGTTCTCATATTTTCTACTATGTGAATGCTTTTGCAAAATACAGCTTGTTTAAAACTTGGAAGGAAAGCAGTAAGAAACTGATTTTTATATAACCTAGGATTTGTTTTTGTTCTGTTTTGGTACTGGGGATTGAACCCAGAGGTACTTTACCACATCTCCAGCCCTTTTTATTTTGAGGCAGATTCTCAGACTGTTTCAGCTGAGTTGTTTACAACATTTAATCGTCAGTCTCCTCTCTTAGCCTGGTCTCCTCATAAAGAAAGTAGAATAGGTATAGCCTGGTAAATACTGGGTACGTGTTCTTTATAGGTAAAACACCTGCTTGAATTCATAAAGGCAGCCAGTATTTAGAAGCCAAATTCAACTTATCTTCTGTTTTGGTTACTGCCAAACTGAAGGACTAAGATTGGGCCAAACTTGCAAAAATCCCCCAAAGTATGACATGTGGTGAAATACCAATGAGGTTATAGTATTTCATGAGTCTTGTGCTCTCCTGAGGATTAAAAATTGATCATTTAGACTTCATCTAAACTTTCTGCATTAGAAACAGAAGGTTTAATTCTCAGGAATCACTCTAAAAAACTGAGATGTGTCAAGACTGTTAAGACTTCATGTTTCTTTCTTAATTGAAAATTGACAAGAAAGTATTCCCTCTAGTATTTTCTTTTCTTCTTCTTCCTTTTGTTGGGGGTATCAGGAATTGAACCCAGGAGTGCTTAACTACATCCCTGGCCTTTTTTTAAAAAAAATTCTTTTATTTTAAAACAAGGTCTCACTAAGTTGGTCAGGGCCTTGCTAAGTTGCTGAGGCTGGCTTTGAACTTGCAATCCTCCTGCACCAACATGCCATGCTCCAATATTTTCTTTTTTTTTTTTAAATATATTTTTTAGTTGTAGATAGACACAATACCTTTATTTAATTTATGCGGTTTAATTTTTATTTAATTTTTGAGGATTGGACCCAGGGCCTCACAGGTGCTGGGCAAGTGCTCTACCACTGAGTCACAACCCCAGCCCCCATGCTCCAATATTTTCTAATTCACAAATTTCATTAACAAATCTGACAAGAATAAACATTATTATTTATTTAAAACTCACTAAATGACACATTTCACTTGATTATTACAAATCTTCTGAAAGGCCAGTGTTTTGCAGATGAGAAAATTAAAGCTCGGAGTGGTCAAATGACTTGCCCAGGTTTCCTACATGTTAAATTTATGGAGCTGGTGTTTGAACACAGATCTTCCTGATTCAACAGCCCATGTTATTTCTTCAATACCATGGTGTCTCCTAACATCTTTTACTGATAATATTACCAAATCAGAAACTTCTCAAAAATAAGCAGACACTGAGACATTAAGTGAATGGGCTCTCATCTCACCTCCGGTGGTTCATTTCTGTATCACTGGCTGCATTCTTTCCAGGACCCCAGCTGTGTCTCCGGAAAGGGGACAAAGAACGCATGGAGTTCCTCAGGACAGAGCAGTTTGCAGGTACTTCAGTGATGCTGTCCATCTCCTCTTCTTCTATTTCCCCAGAGCCAGCAGGTTCACTCTCACCTTCTGGACCCTCAGCTCCCACCCCATGGCTGTAGAAGCCATCATGGCTTTGCTGGTCTCTAGATCTCTTCAACTTTGAAATCTGAGGGAGGGACACATCACTGCCGCGAGAAGAATGTCGATCCAGAGAAGCTGTGTCATCAGTAGAAGAACCAGATCTTGTAATATCACAGACCAACTGCTCTTCCTCGGGCTGTAATGGAGAGAAAATACATACAGTTGAAACTGGCAGGATCAACCAGAAGTCTCGGTCACTCTAGAACAAGCCAATGGCTTCATAGTTGATCAAAGGTGGACAAGATAAATAATTGCCTTAGAACAGACTTGTTGCTTTGTTTTTGTTTTTAAAGCATTATTGCAGTTGGCCTTCAGTATAGAAATGTTCTAGGTCTAGCTCCTTCTGTCATCTTACTAGTCGTACTAGACTACAAGTAATTCTTAGGTTTATTCTTTCAATGAATATGATCAACTGAAATGAGGGGAACCATTTGTCTCTAGACTTTCTGCTGCATGAAAAGTCTAATATGATATGAATTAAGAGTTAACTTTTTCAAAAGCTTTAAATGAAACAAAGCAACCTGTATGGCTACAAAAATAATGTAGTAAAGTTAAGATTCCAAAAGCAAGTACCTAAGTATTTTTAAGTGTCCTTTTGAAAAACACAGAATAGCTTCTGATCCCACCTTAACTCTGCCACCAATATCAAAACAGAAGAAAACTATTATTTCTTCTCATTTAACTTGGCTGAATATTATGAAGCCAAAACAGTCAGTCCTGGCAATGAGGTCTTTGATAAAGTGACAATGATTTTTTCCTGGCCAACCTATAGAGCATAATAGGAATTGGGCACATTTTAGGCATAGTTGCCCAATACACACTACTTCTTGATAAGTAAGATGAGTTTCAAGGCATACAAAAGGCCTTAAGACTGTTTTTAAGTATTTAAGAGATGCATGGTCACATTGTCATTTACAAGCACTTCCTTAATATCTTTATTTTGTACTCTAACAGGGCAAGGAACAGGGAATAGAGAAAGGCATGCTGCAACACCTCCCCTTCAAGTACATTTCTAATTAGTCACTTAATGTTTTAATTAGAGTGAAGAAATATGTGGTTCTTATACTTTAAAAAATCTTTCTCTGAGAGCCAATGAGTCCTTTCAGCTTTGGAATAGAAAACAAACCCTGTACTTGAAGGACAGTCTTTTAAAAGGTTTAATTATAAATACTCATGACCAAAAGCATACTACTTTATAAAAGCACCTTTGTACCTTTTTGGCTGGATCTCACCTACTGTTGACCACCCCTCTCAGTACAGTTTGCTAGATTAATTCATTTTTATATAATGTGTAAAATGAGATTGAGAGGGAAGAGGGAAAATGCAATGGGATCAGAGTACTTGTCCGGGAACCAGGGCCCAGGCTATTTAATGGACTCTCCCAGGTACATAGGCAGTGAGTGGCAGAATCAAGATTCAAATCAAAGTTGATTTCAACTCCAAACTGCCCTATTCCGTTATCTCGAATATCTTTAAAAACTCTATAAGGACAAGATCTCTAAGTATCAGAAAAGTCCCCTCCCCTCACTGTATCAAACTACAAAATAAACTGCACTTCATCAAGTAAATTCTAAAGTAATGATAAGTATTATTGTAAAATAAAATCACTGACAGTTCTTTTTAAGTTAATGAGGAAATGATGTGGCCATCCTAAAGGATTCGTATTCACAGAGATACTCTCCACAAATAAAGAAAATGGAAATGGTCATAAATGCCAACTATTGAAAATACTTCTAGAATGTCTTAGCTTTCTCACTACAGTGGGTTGAACGTGTCCTTCTCAAATATGTGTCCTTCTCAGAACCTGACCTTATTTGGAAATAGGGTCAAGATGAGATCACAGTAGAGTAGTGTGGGCCCTTGATCCAAGATGAAATGAAGGGGAAAGTGATACAGGAGAATTCCACATGAAGACTGAAGTAAAGATTGAACAACCCACGGAATGCCAATGCCAAAAAGCTCCAGAGACTAGGAGATGCATGGAAAAGATTCTTTCTCAGAGGTTCTAGGGGGAAAGCAACTCAGCAGGCAGCATGATTTCAGGACAAGTAGCCTCTATAACTGTGAAAGAATAAATTTGTTCCTTCAAGCCACCCAGATTTGGGGAGGGGGGATTGTTTTGTTTCAGTGAGTGCTAGGGATCAAACTCAGGATATCACATATGCCAGGCAAATGCTCTATCACTGAGATACATCCCTAATTATTGTAATTTTTAACAGCAGCACTAGGAAATTAATATATTCACATAGTTCCCTAAATTTCTCATTCTCAAAATAATAGCAGGGGACAAACAGAATGGGCATCAATAAGCAAAATGAGACAAGCCTGTTTTAAAACACACAAGAAGGGCTTCAAAGGCAACACAACCTCTGAGTTACTTTCCATTTACTATATATTCTTCTTATAAGTTAGCTCCTCCCAGTTTGGAAATGACTCATGACAGCAGAACAGGTGCTTCTTTACTTTGGCATCTACTCTTAGAAGGTTATTATCTTGAAAAAAATAACTCTGCATTTTGCTAATCTGAAACTCATAAAATAAACATCTTCCCTTTCCCAAAACATTAAAACAAAATGGGAAAATCTTTGATGGCCTGTTCATGTGTTTTAAAAAAGAAGAGATCTTGGGCTGGGGATGTGGCTCAAGCGGTAGCGCGCTCGCCTGGCATGCGTGAGGCCTGGGTTCGATCCTCAGCACCACATACAAACAAAGATGTTGTGTCTGCCGAAAACTAAAAAATAAATATTAAAATTCTCTCTCTCTCTCCCTTCAAAAAAAAGAAGAGATCTGTCTAGAATTTATCCTCAATGTAGCCTTTTCCTCTGGTGTGTAGTATGACATTTTGAGGAATGACCAAGGAGTCTTTTAACAGTAACTCTGATTTTTTTTCAGTCCTGCATTTCTGATAAAAGTAAGGTTCACATAGTGTAATATTCTCATGTATTTTTATGTATTATCCAAAAAGGCAAAAGCAGAACAATATTCTGAAACTAAAACTGAGTTCAATTGTTAAATACTAAGACAAATAGTTTTCTTCAATACTGGACCAAATCTAAAGGAATCTTTACTTTCTCCCCAATACTTTTACATGTTTTCAAGTGCTGTCCCTGCAACTCCATCATGTCTTTGTATGATCCCTGTAGAATAAAAATGGGTGGCAATCTGAAAATCATATCTAGACTATAGTCATGCTCTTGCTATAGCTAATCATCTTGACTATAGATATCAGTTTTTTCATGTTGCCTTGCCATCTAATAAGAAAGGGTTCAACAGATCTAACAGAGGTCAGATATTAATATGAGGCCTATTGAAAGGTAAGGTCCATTTAAATCATGGATGACACTGAAACTTTCTGTAAATTTTCCAATTTTTTAAGAACAGAATTGCTTTCTAGTTCCTGAAACTATTTAGTGCTGAAGTTCTTAGAGCTACCCAAAATAGACTAAAGAACTATTACTTCCCCCATTCTTTCTGCCCCCTTACATACAAATACCGGGTTTGAGGGAATTATGTTTTTCCATTTATATGTTGGAAGGAAAGAAAATTTATGATTTCTGGCATTTAACATTCCATGTCTAAGATCCAAAGTTTCTATTAAGGGTTCTTGGGTTATGTGTCAGTCTTTCTTAGGCAGATAATTTATCTTAAAAAATGTCTGCTAATTAAATGACTTCCAGGAACTTAGGATATTACTCCTGTCTGAAGGAATGATGCCACGGGATCAGCTGATCCAAGATATCTAATTTATATGGAATTATAATTCAGTGGTATTTCTACTGGTACATTCAGTAGATGGCCAAACATAATTCAGGTTTTCGTTCTTCCCCTAAGATACAGTTCGAAGGCAGGACACCAAACAAAGAAGGACAAAGAAACAGAAACTCAGAAAGGGAGACTAAGAGAGAATGGGTGGGAAATAGTTGTGTATGTATGTGAGAAGGAAAAACATTGGAGAAACTAAAGCTGTGTTTATATCTGAGATTGACACAAATCCTTCTTCCCTCGAGTTCTCACAATTGTTTTTCCTCCTGCATACAGGAGGGTTGGAATACACTAAAAAGTATCATCTTTACCATCAGGAAAAATCCTTAGGGCTTATCTAATCCTAAAAATCTGCAAAAGACATCAGGGTAGCAAAAGGCAAAGACAGATACTTCCAAAAAAAGAGCTCTCCAAGCAAGACAAAGGCAAGAGTTTGCAGCTCTTTATAAGCAGCAGCCTTAAATGGACAGCTTCAGCTAGAGGGACAGAAACCAAGCTATGAAGTAAGGCAAGGACAATGTTCTGCTGAATTTGGGGTAAAATAAAGTAGTTAAGATTTTAATTATAAAATAATTATATAGGTAAAATAAATGAAAAAGGTCAAAACAAAATGATGCTACTTGAATAAAGTCTTAGAAGCTATTACTATTCTTAAATAATAATATAAAACAAAAAATATGATGGAACTCGAATAATAATTATTAGTTACTTATCACATGTCAGGTTTATGCTAAGCTATTTTGAAATATTACTCCTCTTAATCCTTATAACTATTTGAATAAATATTCTCATTCCCATTTTTAGTTGAGAAAACTGAGGATCAGTGAATTTAAATGACAAATTCAAGATTCTAACTTAGCTAGTCTCAGCCAAGAATTAGATGCACTTTTTTTTTTTAAATAGCTCTTTAGGTGATTCTAGATGCAGCTAGGATTGAATCCTAGTGCTATCAACCTGTAGAGCTGTTACCAAACTGAGATGGATCTTACTGCTAAATGTAAAAGCTAAAAGCATAAAACTTTTAAAGAAAAACATTAAAACTAAAGGCAGGGAAAACAAAAATAGAACAGGACACAAGATGCAATAACCATAAAAAATTAACAAATCACATTTCATCAGAAGTAAAAACTTCACCTCACATCAACATCATTACAAAAGCAAATGGCAAGGCATACCTAGAAAAAATTGCAAAACATAAGCCTAATAAAGGACTGATATCCAGGTTTACACACAGAACTCTACTTCTCAGCAGCAACTAACAATACATTTTTTTTTAAATGGTCAAAAGATTTGAATAGACACTCCACAAAGGAAGATAAGAAAGTTGTCAATGAACACAAGAAAATGTGTTTATAACAACACTAGTTGCCAAGGAAATGTAAATAAAAAACCTTGAAGACATACTACTGCATGGATGCCAGAAATACTAAAACAATTATACATGTCAATAAGGATGTAGAACAAGTGGAGTTCTCATACACCACTTGTGAGAGTGTAAAATGGTATAATCAATTTGGAAAATAATCTGTTTCTCATAAAACTGAACCTACACCTACATATAATCTAACAATTCCACTTCTAGGTATTCAGGCAAGAAACATAATATTATTATTATTTTCTTTAGTTGTAGATGGACACGACATCTTTATTTATTTTTATGTGGTGCTGAGGATTGAACCCAGTGCCCCACACAAGCAAGGCAAGCACTCTACCACTGAGCTGTAGCCCCAGTCCAAGAAATGACATTATTTAGATTGGGTTTACGTTAAGTTCTGAAACATGGAAAACTAATACATGGGGTGGGGGTGGGGGTCGGGGGAGTGCTGACTCTGGAGAGTTTAAATGGAGACTGTCTGGGAAGGAAAAAAAAGAAACTTTCCAAGGTGATCTTTATAGTTTATATATTTTGATGTGGGCTTGGGTTAAAAAGTGAATGAATGTATTTATCAACAGTCACTGAATCCTCAAGATTGTACATTTCAGCCAGACACAGTGGCACACGCCTATAATCCCAGTGACTCCAGGGGTTGAGGCAAGAGAATTGCAAATTCAAGGCCAGTCTCAACAAATTTAGTGAGACCCTCAGCAAATTAGTGAGACCTTGTCTTAAAATAAGAAATAAAAAGGGACTGGAGATTTAGTTCAGTGATAAAGTTGCCCCTGTGTTCAATCCCCCAGTATAAAAAATAAAAATTTTTAAAAGATTGTATATTTCATTGTATATAAATTTTTACAAATAAAACAAAAACCAACTATAAACAAATGATGAATTCTAAGTATTCAGAGGTGAAGTGTACTGACATATTTTGAAATGCACCAAAGAATTTAGGTGGACTGGTGGGTAGATAGATGAATGAACAGAAATACTGCTATGTAAGGAAGTAAATGCAATAAAAAGTTAATTGTAGAATCTGAGAGATGGAAATATTTGGTGTTCACTGCATGATTTTTTAACTTTTCTACATGTTTCTGTGTTTTGATAATGAAAAGTTGGGGGGAAACGCCTGCTTGGCTTCCTCAACCAGAGTTAAACTATGTAAGTAAGATATATGAGTTTAAAAATTATATAACTCATACACACAAAAATGTGAAAACAGCTAAACACTTTATGTTTTATTACTATAACTGAAGGAATCAAGCTTAATAGTGCCCAAACACTGGTCCTTTAATTTTCATTTATCTATTCACTCAATTAGTTAATATTATTTATTATGTTATATTCAAGGAGTCCTGCTATGTGCCTTGAAAAATCACAGCTCACATTTTAAACATCTAATACATACCACAATCACTTAACTCATTTATTTTATCTAATAATATTTTATCTAAGAATCTTAAGTATTAGATCAGAGTGGCCTAGATTATGCATATTTTATGATCACATTTTCTCAGCCAGTGCCAAAAAGAATTCCAGGATTTCTTCTCACTTTAAAAATGTAAAATTTATGCTGCTGATATAAGGAATGGAAAGACTTTAATAACTCACAAATATTCATAAGAATAAACATGAAGCTCATAACACTCATTAGATAGTTCCATTTGCTGGGAGGCACACTCAATGGAAAGACAGGTTAAGGTGAACAGTTGGTGAAGGACACTTCAGGCTGTTAAAGAGCGCTCTGTAAGACTACAGTCACATAAATGACTGCAGGAAGTGACCTAATGCACCACTCATGGTTCACAGAAAAGGATGTTGCAATTCTTGCCCACAGATTATATTTTTAGAGAATGAAGAAGAGGAGGGGTAAGCCCTGGGAAGAGAAAGGAGGAAAGGGAGGTTAGGCCCTGGGAAGAAACTGAAACATTCTGGTATTGTACAGTCCATGTGTGGATGATCAATGAGGAAGACTTCTAAGGAAGCAGCTGATGACCTGTCTACCATGACTATACTTTCAAATAAATCACTGGATTTAGAAGAGTTTTTCAGAGACTGAGAGCAAAATAAAAAAATACAAAGAGATTTTAGAGTCAGGCGTATGTGCAAATCTCAGTTCTCTTACTCAGTAGCTCAGTAATTTTGGATTAACTTCTTTACCAATCAGAGCCTCTACTCCCTTAAGGGTAAAAGGAAGACAAAACCATTAGAGTTGCAGGGCTTTGTGTATGGTAAGCACTCTATCAATATTAGTTTGTCTCCCTCCTTTTCCTTTCACAAGTAGTAAGCCCTTGGTTTATTAATGTTAGAGAAAATATTTAATGCAAAGTATCTCTTGGTAACAAACCACTTTGGCAGACTACAACCAAGTTTTTCTACATGAAACAATTCCAATAGTAAAAAATATTATTATTAATATTTCAAAACATAAATACTTACTGAACCTTCATATACCATCATTATCAATCAATGGGCCTATGTTAAAGCTGGAACTAGAGAAACCATCCAATGTGTTCATCTCAGACAAAAGCAATGTTTTTAGAGACATGTATATTCACAATGATATTTCCCCAGAGGAGAACAGAAGTCCTTACAATTAAAGTCTTGAAGGCACAGTGGAAAGTACTGAAATTCTGATATTTTAAAAGTCATATTGGTTTCCCTCTTCCAATGTACAGAGTTTTTACTTCAAAGAATCCCTTCAGTCAATACACTATGAGTAACAATGACAGAAATCCTGAAATTTGCACCACAAATCTTCCCAAGGACCCTGGAAGAGAAAGGAACAAGGTAGAAAGGATAAGGAAACACCCAGTCAGAATAGGAAAGTCCCTGGACAAAATGAAAGGGAAGTATAACAGAGTATTCACAGAGGCTTCAGTATGTTCCAAACCAGAATTCCAGGACTTTATGCCTTCATTATTATACTATAACTTCTAAACACAGAATCACCACACTCTCTTGGATAACTTGATCACCCACTAGCACAACTGTTCTCACCACTTTTCCAAAGTCATCTTAAAACCTGAAGGAAGAGTCTTCTTCACAGCTGCCATGGCATTTCTGCCCCTCCACCTCTCACCACTAAGAAAACCACTCATGGCACACAATTGAGTGCTATCTGCCCTCTGCTTGTGTGGAAGCCCTATACTCTTCTTATGGAACAAAACAACTTGCTGCAAGGAGAAACAAGCCCAAGCAAAAGACAGCAAAATGCTCCCATCACCCACTTCCCTAGCCTCAAACTCTATGCAAACATAACTTGATTTGTGTGCATGAATTTTTCACTATATAGAAAGCTTGAATCCCTTAGCAAAGATCTAGAAAGTTCCAATTAAGCAGGGTGGATGAATAAGGGTGATATCACCAGGATCAACAGTAAAGTTTCAGGCCCCCACACATCAATCAGAAAATGAATCTATGGTTAGCTTACACACATGACATCATACAGTCTAAGTTGTAGTCCTTTCCTGCCCAAGGAATAGTGTTCACTGTCATATGATTTAGTTCATTCTAAAAGAACTTCCATGCCTTTGATTTCAATGCAAGTTCCAAAACTTGCATGTAAACAAGCTGCATTTTGCAGAAAATAAATTTGGATAATGCCCTTTTTCCTAAACTCTGGAAATCTCATTTCCTTTTTCAAAAGGGAATACTTATATTCTTCAATGGCAAGCGAAATCTATGGGGACAGCTGGATCACAATTTACTAGTAGGAGTCACATATTAAGGGAAATAATATGCCTTGAGAAGATGATGAGCACAGGAGAAGAACAAAGTGAAAGAGATTTAAGGAAGACCAAAGGGAGCATGAGAATCACTGGACAAAATGAAAAGGGAAGGTACCCAAATACCTTTGAGAAGATGATGCTGTCCATTTCATCACTGGGTGAATGAAAGAGGTCAGAATCACTCCCAGATTCTCTCTGAAGTACATCTTGTTTTGAGCTACACTCTCTGCTCAATGCAACATCCAAAATGTTCTCACATCCTGAAAAAGAAAATTTATTCAACTGATACTTAAAAATTTTTCTTTTCTTCCAAGCAACTAATCTTTCTTCTCTTTTGTTTTCCCCGCTTTTCCACATCCATCCCTTCATTCTTTCTCTTTCTTTTTAGATATCAAGAATTCAAATTAGTAGCTTCTACTACTAAAAGTCAAATTAATAGTTTCTACTATTCCAATTCTAGGATCATACGTTTGCCATAGGCCGCTTATGAGTTAGCCATGTTTATGTAAGGTAAAGAAAGAACGATGATCTAGAATCATATTCTATCTAAACAGTAATGGTTCCTCCTGGTAGTTAGGGAATAATTCTCTTTTGCCACCAAAATCTGAAGTTCATTACTAGGAAATTATGTGACAGGATTTGAGGCCAATTTTAGCTTGGGACTAAAGTTCTTTCTGGAAACTTGTTACCTTTTCTAAACAGTGGTATAAAGATAAAGGGGGTGCTATCAATAAACATATGTGTATTACACTTATGGTTTCTACTGAGTAATAATAAATGTAACTTAACTTTTCCTCCCTTTAAATAGATCTTGCATCGGAAAAAAATGTGCTGAAGTAGAAAAATGCATCCATCCGGAATCTGTTTTCAATTCAATAACTAGGATGGAGATTGATGAATGAGAGGAGGGGTCCACGACAGAACTATTATACTCACATGAAGGATCCTTAAGACTTAACCTGAAATTGACTATGCACTTATTATTTCCTATTAACTTTGTGAACAAAGGGACATAAGACTTGCTAGCAAAAGGATTACAGAGATTTAACACATGAAATCCAATGGTTCCTTCACATTTGAGTTAATAGTTCTGTCATGGATCCCTCTTTTGGCTCACCAGTTCCCATCCTTGCTACTAACATATTCCAGATGAAGAATCCAAAAGTCAAGTAGTGGGTAGATATTAACCTTCTTCAGAGGTTTGAAGATAGGCGCTCCTAAGTTATTTTATTGTTTGGTGAGGACATATATACATGTATACTTAATCAAATCTGTATGTGACCCAAGTGATGAAGGCAGCAGTTCATTAAATCTCTACCCAGAAGTCTTGGTTGAAAGCAAATTAAAAAGAGCTGACAATACAAGGTGATGTCAAAACAAACACACACAAATAATTTTACGTCCTATTAACATTCAATGTACTGGAATCCAAATGGGGATGATCCTGTCACTATGTGCTTTCAAGACCATATTACACATGACTGTTTATTCCCAGACAACATTTAAACTGGAACACTGATAAAACAAAAAATGTGTACATGGTAATGAGGTCACAACAGTAGAAACAAACAGGCTACATTCAGCTTGGGCAACAGTTTGAAGAAAATGTGCCTAAAAACAGCAGTATATTTCTTTCTGTATTCTTCTAGGAACTGAAAAAAAGACCACTGAGTTTAAGTGGCAGAGTTTTCACTATTCTCAGGACTTTGCTGAGGCCTCAAAAAGTAAACAATGTCACTTTACCAGGACAGTTGGAGCACAGACTGAATGCCTATGTCAAGATATTATAAGAAAAGCTATAATATACACAAAGGGAGGAATGTAGATTGTACCAGTTAATTTCCAGTGAATCTTCTGATTCTTAGATTCGATGCTTGAATGATGTGTGTGTGTGTGTGTGTGTGTGTGTGTGTGTGTGTGTGTGTAGGAGAGGGAGAAAGAAAGGGAGGAAGAAGAGCAAGAGAGAGAGAGGTGTGGATGTAGGGTAGAGCTAATGGGAAGTTTTTATCTAAATTAAGAATTAATAATAAAATCATTTACCCTGAACCAGCCAGGTAAGTTCTGATGAAGGAGGCACTGAATCAGTATAGGTAATGCACTGCTTGTCAGTAAAACTACTTTTTCTGTAGTTAGGCATTTATTTAGGTACTGGGGAGTGTCCAAATAAAAATATATGGGGAGAGGGGGTTTTATCTGTGGCAGAAATGAAAACATTAAAAGATAATTTCATCATAGAATTGTGTAAAGGATGCCATCCACATAAAATGAGTCAGGGGTGTGGATTAACTTTAAAAATTTGAAATTAAAAAAAAAAAAGACCCTATAGTTAATGGACTATTTCAGATGTGTTAGTTCAATGGGAAGGGACCTGCCTTTAAGACATTGGAAATTATGGGTATTCTGGAAGTCCCCTCCCCTACATTGCATAGAATGTAGTAAAACTTAGGTGGAATTGGTAGGTTTGTGATCTTTCTATTCCTTTCCCTTTTCCCACTTGGAAAAATTAAAAGCTCCATTCTGTGGCTGAGGGGAAAACAAGGGAGTTAGCCAAGAAAAGAAAGGGCTGTCACAGCAACTATGCTGAGCTGCTAGATTGTCCAGCTGGCAGTCTAACAGACCATGTCCAAATTCCAGACTGGAAAACAACCCAGCTCAAGATATTCTAACAGAAAATCCACAGAAAGATCCAGATTCAGACTTAGAAATACCTCACCCAGAAAATAAATCCAAGCCAGCCAAAAGGACCACAAACCTAGTTTGGAAGAGGAACAGTTCACTGTTTGAGATAATGTTGACTGCTGGGGTAGGGAAAAGGGAAGGGGATGGAAAAGAAGTAATGGAGACACAAGGACCTTAAGCCATTATAACCCCAGAACCACCTCCATTGTGTGTGTGTGTGTGTGTGTGTGTGTGGGGGGGGGGCATTTCCCCAAAGGTGACCAGATCTTGTGTCACATGTGTTAAGTTTTCAAAATTAATGAACTCTTTCATTTCTTCCTACACATCACCTAATGAATAATGTAGAACAACATAAACAAGAGTAGAGTACTAGTTTTATAGTTCAATGGATTTGGCTTAAATCTAGATCACAGGCAAGAAGTAATTTAACTCTCTACTCTTTATTTTCATACCAGTGAAATGAAATGATTAGTATCTTCCAGGAGTTGTAGTGACATAAATAATTTATATACATAGTAACCAGAACTCTGGTCCTTAGCACTTAGCAGATATGTGATACATGTGCCTAATCAAGTTCGGACTCTATCAATCTCTAACGTGTGATTCTTTAAATATCTGGATGACAGTAATCTGAAAATGGGCATAGCAAGGACAAGTCATGTTTTATAACCCATATACAAATATGCACCCAATTTTTGTGTACTGCATCATTAACTTTTTAAAAGCTAACAGAAAATATGCTTTTTGAGATGTTATCCAGTCTTTTGGGTTTAAAATGACAGATTTCTGCACCACATAAAAATATTTCAGTCAGCAGTGGACCACACATATGATGGTATATACCACACAGCTTAGGTGTGCAGCAGATTGTACCTATACCACCCAGATTTGCCTAAGTACACTCTATCATGTTCACACAATGGTAAAAATCACCTCATGACACATTTCTCAGAATGTATCCTTATCTTTTGGCCACATATGACTGTATATGCTAACAAATTTTAGCTGGAAAAGAATAGGAAAACATCAGCAACCTGTACTGGGCTTTGTTAAATCATGCTAATCATAATCCTATCTTGTATTTATCACACAAAGTGATCTTAAAGAACATTATTATCTTATTTGCTCTAAGTCTGTTGTTCTACTGAGACACTGTAAAGTAAAACAAAAACTGAAGCCTGTTGTTGTGGCCCAATTACTCAGGAGTCTAAGATAGGAGGATAACAAGTTCCAGGTCAGCCTCAGCAATTTAGGGAGAACCTGTCTCAAAATAAAAAAGGTCTAGGGATGGTGGCAGAGTACCCCTAGGTTCAATCCCTAGTACTACAAATGGACAAAACCACAAACAAAACAAAACAACAACAACAACAACAACAAAAAAAAAAAACAAAAAAACAAAACAAGAGGAGGAGGAGGAGGAAAGGAGGGAGAAAGAGAGAAAAAAAGAAACCTGTGAGATAAAGTATACACCTGGGATGGATACACACACACACACACACACACAAAAACAAACACAAAAAAAAAAAACAAAAAAAAAAAAAACCCTGCCTAAAATACAAATCTCAGGTCTGAAGTACAGAAGTGTAATTCAGATCTGAAATTCTGTTATGTTAAGGTTTAAAAATAATCACTAAAAAGGCCAAACTGCTTATGCTTGAAGTTAGGATATGGAAAGGGTAAATAACAAATTAAACTCTTGACAATTTTTTCCAAAGTTGCAATAGTTCTCAACCAAGGCTACCCAAGAGGAAATTCAAAGGAGCTTATGATTCTGAGATTCAGGCCATACCCCAGCCTAATTAAATCAGAATCTCAGAGAATAGGACCCAGGTATTTTGAAAGCTTGCTCACCCAGATAAATCCACTGTGTAGCCCAAATTGAGAACCATGGGTTTAGTCCCTAATAATACATATATTTACAATTTTATCAGATTAAAAAATTTATATCACACACAAATTCACAGCACCAGATAATTTCACAAATAAATTAATAAATCATAAAGCTACATGTTAAGTCTGTTGCCTCTAAAATAAAATTAAGAAAACTATCTGTGCTCATCTTCAATGAGATGCCTATGAACCAGATGCTTATGAACATCATACATATCCATTCCTCTGATTCCTGTGGAACATGCTAAGGAAGGGCAGAGCTACGAATCAATGATCTATTATTAGAGTAGAATTATGGCTCCAGAAAAATGAACATTTTGGATGTAGTTTCTCAGACAAACTGGAAAATGGAAAAACTCTGCTTACCTGGGCTCTGCTGGGAAGCCAAAAGAGATGCTGCCCCTGGGCATGGTTCTATTGTACACCAGCTTTCTCGGTTTATCTGGAAAGAAAAACAACTTGTTTCAGACAGCAAAGTAATGTGGAACAATTTTACAGTTGTTAAAGTTTATCTATTATATAAACCCTTCCACCTTTTTCTTTACTACTTTATTGCAAGGTGGGTAAAATTATGTCAAGGAAGAAAAACATACAACAAAAGCTTCAATACAACCAAGGCAATGTACACTCAAAGTTCTGAAGAGACTGTCAATAAAAGAGGCATAAAAAAGCAAGAGGAAAAAATAAACAACAACGACAAAAAAGGACATGGTGCAGGCCAAGGGTGAAATAATAAAGAAGTCAACAAGATGAAAGCGACCAAATATTAAAATGCATATTTAATGTCCTAGTATGCAAGTTAAGAAAAGACACAAAAATTTAAAAATACAAAATAATTCCTATTTAGGAATTAATACACGCCAGGTACCATGTTAAGAATTCTACAAGTATTATCTCATCCAATCATCACAATAGCCACCAAAAGTTTGTGTTACCTCTATTCACCCAAAGGAAAAATAGGGTAAGAGGGATTTCCAAGATCACAAATAGCAGGAATGGTTCTGGAATGCAAGTCTTTGCAATTCTAAAAAGCAAATATACTCCCTTCCTCCTAAATTAAATAGCTTTTAAAAATTTAGCTTTTATATCTTGCAACCATCTTAACATTATAACCCTCTATGTTCCGTAACTTTGAAATAAGAAAAACTTTAAGGTTACCATTAAAGATTTTGATACTTCTCTCTCAGTAATTAATAAAATAACTAGACATGAAATTGGCAAAGATATAAAAAAATTCAAAGACATCAACCTTTAATAAATAAAACCTACAAATTCTTAAATTTAAGAGGATTAAAATCTTTAACATATATACTCTAACCACAACAGCATTATATCAGAAACCAAAAACAAAAGATCACTGAAAAACCCAAAATAATATTTAAAAATTTAAAAAAATACTTCTGACGGGGATCCAACATGGCGGCGAGGGGGGAGGCAGCGCTTTCAGTACCTCCTCAACAACGGGGTCAGAGAGACGCATGGATACGCTTAGATTCGACCTGCTGAGAAACTCCTAGCAAAATTCCACTGAAGAGAGACCGGCCGGGAAGTGGAAGGATTTTTGGAGGTGACAGTTTGCCCTAGATGAGTGAATCTCCGCCACGCAGCACAGAGGTCCAGACCCGCCAGCTGCTGCCCGCGCGACTCGGCAACTGTCGGCTGCCTGCACGCGGCCCCCGCGTCAGGGTGGATAGCCTCCGAGGCGCAGCGCAGCAGGAGCGGAGCAGGGACTCTAGGAAGAGGTCTCTCGCCAAGCCTTCATGAAATAGCGAACCGGGAGGTGAAACCAACCAGAGACAGACCAGTCCCACCCCTCCCTTCGGACACTCTGGCAAGGAGCCTGGGGCCCGCCATAGCAGAGAGGTGACATCACCAGAGTTCCGCCGACAGAATTCCTTCCCAGCGGAATCCACGTTACCAGGTGTGTGACTCCCACCCCCTCCAGATACAAGCAGCCAGGAAACCTCGGGAATCTCTCCGGGGGCGTGTCTGTAGGGAAGCAGAGGGGATTCCAGATCCCCACCTCCCCTTAACACCAGCGGCGACACCCAAGATCTTAGCCGCCAGTTTCTGGGGGCGTGCCCACCAAAGGGGTCCGGAAAAATTAAACTGTTGGTTCCCAGATCACCCCACCACAGCACTGGGGCTTAGATGAATGACAGAGATGGTGTTCATCGTTCGGGACATAGGACACACGGTGGGGCTGCAAGTGTAATCAGATCCTTGGGGAACCGCCTCCGGTGAACAGGACCTGGCTGGCTGGCTGGGAGGAGGAACACGGGGAGGGGCCGGATAAGTGAAAGGGCTCTGGACTAACAGGATTGAGAGACTCCCAGGTGCCACCTTACAGGGATTTCTGTCAGCACATAGAGGGCAGAAGCTCGGCTCGGAGGGCACAGCTCCGCCTATTGGAAGAGAAGAAAATAGGATTAAGCCATAGAACAGGGGATGCCAGCATGGCAGAGATCTGATGTCATCGGAGAGCGGCCGAGGAGAGAACTTCATCGGTGCCAGCAGCGATGGAAACAGTTGGTCTCCTGGTAGGGAGGGTGAGTCACAGATACCCGAGTCTCTCTCGCTTTGTCCTCGAGCCAGAGGGGAGGAGCGGGGCCGCCGCATGCGCCCGCAAGGTAGGCAGACCTGCGACCAACCTGCAGATCAGGCCCAGCGGTCTGCGGGTGTGGTAGGAGGGGCAGGGCAGAGCCGCCGCCCGCGCCGGCAAGGTAAGCAGACCTGCGACAGACCGGCAGATCAGGCCCAGCGGACTGCCAGCGTGGTACACACTTCACCCCAACTGGAGTAGGGGCAGAGCAGAGCCTTCGCCCGCGCCCAGATCAGGCCCAGCGGCCCACCTGTGTGGTGGTCAAGTGACCCCAATTGGAGTGGGGGCGGAGCGGAACTGCCACCCATGCCCGCAAGGTGGGCAGACTGGTGACCAACCTGCAGATCAGGCCCAGCGGTCCCCGGGCGTGGTAGGAGGGGCAGAGCAGAGCCCTCACCTGCAAGGTAAGCAGACCTGCGACAGAACGGCAGATCAGGCCCAGGGGTCCGTGGGCGTGGTAGACACCTCACACCAATTGGAGGAGGGGCAGAGCAGAGCCCCCGCCCGCACCTGCAAGGGAGACTTTTCAACTATACAAGAGCAATATAAATATATAGGGGGGGAAAAATTTCAAAAACACAACAGTTTCACCAAGAAGGAAGAAACGCAAGCAGTATGAAAAGACAAGGAAAGAAAGGACTACAAGCAATGCAGGTCAACTCAACTTTAGAAGAGGTAACAGCTGCAGCAGATGGAATGTAAGATAAAGAATTCAGGATATATATGCTTCAGATGATCTGGAGTATCAAGGAAGACATTAGACAGCAAAATCAGACAATGAAAGATCACTT